CCTGAGAGAAACAGTAAAAAATGAGAGATTCGAATAAGGGCCACAGATGGCTGGAAAATTGCTTTTAGCACTGACTGAAAATAGCAGAGCCGATATAACGGCCTATTGTTTTATTCATCCAGCCTCATGAGGCACAATGCTATTTATTCCCTCTGGTAGAAACGATGAGCGAATATTTCAAGGAACTCAGCATGGAAGATGGCAAAAAAGAGATGTTTCCTAAAATACTCAACTCTGTCCCATTTTTATAGACACAAATTCAGAAACAGTTCCATGTTTTAAAAACAACAACCCCCCCAAAACAAAACAAAACAAAGCAAAACCCTTGACCAGCATTCCAGGGCAAATTTAGTGAAATACATTTCTGATGTTTGATGTCTGAAATTAGGAGAGGAAAACTCTTAGAAAGTGAAATGTCATTATAATGCTTGATTCTAGGAAGACTCATCAAGAGGTGGTAGCACTCAAGGGTTAAATATTTAATGAGGAGACATTTACAATGTCTCAAAGTATCTTCCCACAAATTACTTATTAATTGCAAAGGGGGAACCCCTGACTTTCCAGGGGAGAAAGCTGGCAACCACAACCTTAACATCATAAAGAGCCAGAGACGGCGTGCTTCCTAATACAATGCCCTGGAGGTACAACATCTCTTCTATTGTGTGCCTGCCAAAAATGAACACCCTCAAGATAGCTGTCATAGTCAGTTTGAGATGCTATAATGAAATTCCTTAGCCTGGGTAATTTTTAAATAACAGAAATATATTCCACGCAGTTCTGGAAGCCAGGAGGTCTAAAATTTAAGCATTTGGGAAATTCAGCATTTGGCGAGGTTTCTCTGCTTCTAAGAATTCCCCATGAGCCAAGCCTCTGGCAGGCCTGTGAACAATTTTGATTAGGTTAGCAGAAGTGGAAGGACCCACCCTCAACACGGGCAGCACTTTCCAGTGGCCCAGACAGAAAAGTCAGAGGGAAAAATCTTTGGCGTTTTGCCTGCTCGCCTTTGCTGTTGAGTGCCCTGCCACCATCCGCCAGTGATAGCAGAGCCTAGTTTCTTCAGCCTTCTGACTTGAACTGAAGACCAGAAACTCAGGGTATGCTCCAGGCCAGACTGGAGCTGTTTAGTCGTCTAGCTTCCTGCATGGAGCAGCTACCGGGTTCCTAGACTCTCTCCTGTGTGAACACAGCCACTGGTGGACTACCCAGACTATACTGAAAAGTTTCTGTGTCCCAATAAATCTCACTGCCAATGCAATAATCAAAAACAGACCAAATCAAACTGAATTAGAGAAAGTCCAGGTTTAATGGATACCATTTCTCCTGTGTGGCCTTCCAGTCTCCCAGAGAGGAGCAGGGGAAAAAAGATTGGAAAATCATGAGTTTGTTCTCTGGGGAGGCAGTTTAAATACACTGTGGGAGTAGTCTGGAGCATCTCTGGGGAGGGGTCAATGTTTGGCAGGCTTTCTTGGAGGTGGACTCTGGACTGAGGCAACTCCCAGACTCTTTGGATATATGGATACCAGGGGCTGAGGTGAAGCTTCCACCCAAACATCCCAGACTCTTTGGGTATAGGGGTGCTGGCCCAAGTCTGGCTACTTCCTGCAGGCATGGGACAACGTGGGAGTGGGAAGAGTTGGGAGTTGATGGGTTCACACTCAGCAGGAGGTGTGACTAGAGAAACATCTGGTTAACTGCCATCCTGGAGACCTCAGGCATCTGTTCCTTGAGGGAGATGAGAAGGCAGGTGGCTAGGAGAAAAGATATATTGTTATTATCGGCCCTATGAATGGGGCTAGCCATGGGAAGAGTCATTAACTGCCAGAAAGAACGGGACAGAGAAGTGCCCTGGTTGTACAGAGAATAAGTGAGACGAGAGCAGATATGCCCTTTAAACCAGATTTTAGTTGTTGGGTAGGTGTCCATTTGAGCCAGGAGAGGTGGTACCAATGCTGAAGTTCCAGGAGCTAGTGTAGGTTCTGGCATTATCTAGAAGGCCCTCTGTAAGCTGGTCTTGGCCCAGACAGCAGGAGTGGCCTGCAAAATATGCTTGAAAATGGGCAGAGTTAAAATAGGATCTGGAGATTGTTTTTATCAGACCAGATTTCTTGATACAGCAGGACTTTTTTTTTTCCAATGGAAGAATGGATGAAGAAAGTATGGAATATATACATATTAGAGTACTACTCAGCAGTAAAAAACAAGGACTTCTTGAAGTTTGCAGGCAAATGGATGGAAATAGAAAACACTATCCTGAGTGAGGTAAGCCAGACCCAAAAAGAGGAACATGGGATGTACTCACTCATATTTGGTTTCTAGCCATAAGTAAAGGACATTGAGCCTATAATTCGCGATCCTAGAGAAGCTAAATAAGAAGGTGAACCCAAAGAAAATCATATAGGCATCCTCCTGAATATTAACCTTCATCAGGCGATGAAAGGAGACAGAGACCCACATTGGAGCACCGGACTGAAATCTCAAGGTCCAAATCAGGCGCAGAAGGAGAGCGAGCACGAGCAAGGAACTCAGGACCGCGAGGGGTTCACCCACACACTGAGACAATGGGGATGTTCTATCGGGAACTCACTAAAGGCCAGCTGGCCTGGGTCTGAAAAAGCATGGGATAAAACCGGTCTCGCTGAACATAGCGGACAATGAGGACTACTGAGACCTCAAGAACAATGGCAATGGGTTTTTGATCCTACTGCACCTATTGGTTTCGTGGGAGCCTAGGCAGTTTCGTGGATGCTCACCTTACTAGACCTGGATGGAGGTGGGTGGTCCTTGGACTTCCCACAGGTCAGGGAACCCTGATTGCTCTTTGGGCTGATGAAGGAGAGGGACTTGACTGGAGGAGGGGGAGCGAAATGGGAGGCGGTGGCGGGGAAGAGACAGAAATCTTTAATAAGTAAATAAATAAATAAATAAATAAATAAATAATAAATAAATAAGGAACCTGCAGGTATCTGTAAGACAACTGGAACAGATTTACGCCTTGATGTCATAGCAAAAGGCTATGGCTTTAGGTTAAAAGGCATGAACATTTTAGAAGACAATTAAAGGAAATTGGAAACTCTGAAGATACACCTAAAACCTGTTAATCCTGGACTATGAAGCCTATATTGTTTTACAGGAAACTTAGCAAATAAAGTGATGAACTACCAGTACCCTAAGTCATCAAATGCCCTCAGGCAGATCTGGGAGGGATAAATAAAGGAGCAGAAGTGCTTTTTTAGTACCCAGACAATTCCAAGTCTCTCCATAGTTTTTGGCAAACACCAGTAATTGCCTTTAACTGCTGAGCCCAGGAGGCCTGGCGGATTTTCCTGTGTGGGTAGGGTTCAGTCTACCTGTCTTGGCAGGGTGAGATGATTGATCCCCTGGTGTAGTGTCCAGGAAGCTGAAGAGGTAAAAGACAGCTTTCTACTGTGTGGGTGGCTTTGCCATATTCAAAGGCAAGCCTCTAAGCAGAAGGTCTTCTGCAACCATGCATGCATAGGAGCTAGCATGTCTCTGTCATAAGATCTTTGGTTAAATCCCATACTCTCAAATCTGTATAGGCACTTGAGAATCAGGGTACCATTACCTGCTAGGTATATATAAATTAGACATGTAAGTTAAATTTAGACATATAGCTCACCCAATCAGTTATAGCTTATCAGTGTTAGTGAAGGCAAGAAGATTAGAAGGAATATTTTATTAAGTCAAAACATATTGGAGGCAGATTATCTCCTTGGTAGAGCCAGCACCCGTGGGTACTCTTACCAAAGATGGCGCTGAGGTTTTTACTTTGACCTCAACCAAAAGGGCAGCTATCCACCTTTGTATGTTTTCCAGAGCTGTTGTAATCTGGAGTTATACGTTTTACAGATTTTTTTTAAAAAAATTTATTTATTATGTATACAATATTCTGTCTGTGTGTGTGCCTGCAGGCCAGAAGAGGGCACCAGACCTCATTACAGATGGTTGTGAGCCACCATGTGATTGCTGGGAATTGAACTCAGGACTTCTGGAAGAGCAGCCAGTGCTCTTAATCTCTGAACCATCTCTCCAGCCCACGTTTTACAGATTTTAAAACAAACATACACACACAGACATAAAACAAGAATACTGTGGCCACATTTTATATATATATAAACAGACAGACATAACTTTTTCCAGGAAACTCAGCTGACCAACTTAAAATCCTGGTGTAGGCTGCAGAAGCCAGAAAGCACACAGGTGGTCCCACTGAGGGCCGGATCAACAGATGCTGTAAGGGGAACAGAAACTAAGAATGGAACACCTGTGCAGCTCAGAGTGGGAGGGCAGGGGGAACGGGAGGATCCCGGCATGACCAGATCACATGCCAGGAATGCAGACAAACAGCAAGCAGTGAGAAGCAGGGAAAGGGTTTGGGGAGGGGGAGCACAGCATCCAGAAACCATGGGCATATGGGGACTTATTTACTTGTTTACATGCTGGTAAAAATTTGAGGCATTAAGGACATATGGTGTTAGATAGCGCCAATTTAAAAAGATTTTGTAAAAGGCAGCCCAAGGGCATTTGAAAATTAGGCCTCGAATTCTAGGTACCCATTTCGTAAGTCTATGCCAAACCCAATGCCTAACGCAATGCATTCACTGTGGTAGATTTTGGGTCAAAATCAGAGGGGTATGAGAAATACCCTTAACAGGACATCTGATAAAGGAATCCTACAGGGACAAGGCAGGCCCTTGTCCCAGTCAGGTTGGGCACCGGTATGGCCATGTCTTCCACAGGACAGCCTGGAAATCGTATGATGCCCTGGGCCTCTAAAGGCAATGACTTGGAAATTGAAACTTACCCAGAGGAAGCCGATCTTAGCCTGACAGAGAGCAGGTACGAGGGAGGGTGTTTTCCCAACCTGTGGCCCTGTGTCGATGGGAAAAACAACCTTCTTGGTGGGACCTCCAGATGAAAGGTTTTTGTGCCCCAATAAACCTCTCCACCGATTCAATAATCTGAATCAGACCAAATCAAACTGAATTAGAAAAAGTCCAGGTTTAATGAATACCATTGCTCCTGGGTGACCTTCCTGCCCCGCAAAGAGATGGGAAAGGAAGACCAGAAAACCACGTGTTTGTTCACTGTTTGGCAGGCTTTCTCAGAGGTGGAGTCTGGACTGAAGCAACTCCCAGAAGAGCGTTGGGATGGAACTTCCACCCAAACATATGGATATATGGGAACCAAGGGCTGAGGTGATGCTTTCAACTAAACATCCAGACTCTTTGGATAAATGGATGCCAGGAGCTGAGGTGAAGCTTCCACCCAAACACATATCATGTAAGCCAATTTAATAAATTCCCTTTACAATCCTCCCCAATCTCTCGGTTCTATTCTACTAGAGAATCTTGTTTAATATATAGCTAAGAATGACTTTAAAATCTTGGTCCTCCTGCCTCTACTTCCCAAATGCTAGATTAAAGGGCACACTACGAGGCCTGGTAGGCCCCACTTGGAACTGACATCTTGGGAGTTAGGTTCCAATATGAATATTTTTGAGACAGGGTCTCATTGTATATTCCTGGATGACCTCAAACTCATAGAGATCCATCTGCCTTTGTCTCACAGGTGCTGGGATTAAAGGTGTGCACCACCGTGTCCACCCCAAGCTATGAAATTTTTCCAAGAATACATCCATATTCAGACCATAGAGATGGGCATAAGGAAACAAACTGAGGGACATTCCACTAAACTTTAGGCTTGAACTGAATCTTCAAGGACACAGTCAATAAAAATAAGTCCTTGTTGGGTGGTAGTGCATGCCTTTAATCCCAGCACTGGGAGTTTGAGGGCAGCCTGGTCTACACAAATGAGTTCCAGGACAGGCTCCAAAGCTACAGAGAAACCCTGTTCTGAAAAGCCAAAAATAATAAACAAATATTGTTCTATGGGATATTACAATGATAATTGGCAAAATTTGATTATGGATTGTATACTAGTTTTGATGGTACATGTCTTGATTTTAAGGCTGTTGTAAAAGAAAGTATGTGGATGCCTACATGCCAGGAAATATACACCAGAGTTAAATACTCTAGGAGAAAGGAAGAAACGAAGAAAGAGAAACAACAAACAGAACGAAAGACTCTTAGATCCAGGTACAGTAACACATGCCTATAACTCTACCTCTCCAAAGGTGAACGCAGAGGATCAGCAGTTGAAGGCCATCCTCAGTTACATAGTGTTCTAGGGGGGAAAAGGAAAGATTGACTCTCACTGTGAATCTAGATAAAGGATATATGAGGGGCTTTCTTTCTTTCTTTCTTTCTTTCTTTCTTTCTTTCTTTCTTTCTTTCTTTCTTTCTTGGGACTGTAAAGAGTATTCCAACTTTCCTATGAGTTTGAAATTATTTCAAAATAAAAACTTAAAAAGAACTGAAAGCACTCATTTGCAAGTGGGTTGGCTTGTGGTCACTCATGTCAAACAGGATTCCAAAGGCCCTGTGACCAAGAACTTCAGAAGAAGTCGTAAGACTAGGATAAGCTATGACTCTTTCTTTGTGTTGTTCCTCCCATCATTTTTCTTTGAAGGGTGTTCATGTTGATATTGCTTGATTGAGTCCCATGACAGGCCACCTTCCAGTGAGAGCCCACATAAAAGGCTATGAAAAAAGGAAACTTTTGCTTGTTTGCCCTTACTCTTGCTGGCAAGTTTGACTATCCTGTTGCTGCTGGATTAAATCCAATTTCTTGAGGGTTCCAGTATAGACTAAGAACCAGCAGCTCTCTAGGAATCCTCCAGGCCTGCAGCATCAAACTGAGACAACCAATGCTGTCACATCCTGTAAGCCAGTCTAATAAATCCCTTTTAATATATATTCATTCTATCAGCTCTTTTCCCTTAGCGAATCCTAATATACTTAGGCTTTCAAGTGCAGGTGCCTATCACTCTGTCTGGCTATACTATCCGTTTGAACTATATTTATAAAGTAGCGGAGATGTAAATATACACTGGAAGGGTTCCTGCAGGTATCACAGCACATAGGAAGATGAACTGTGAAGAGGTGAGAATGAAAACTAGGTTTAGGCTGACTTGTCAACTTAGATAAACAGAGGCCAGGTTTATTGCCAGCATATTTAAACATATTATAATTTGGAAAAAATATCCTGGGATAAGACAATCCCCATTGCACAAGAAGGCATAACCAAAACTCAGCTCAACGTACATGTCATTTCTTCCAAGAAGATGGGTTCTAGAGATAGGCAGGCTACCTATACTAGCTTAAGGGACTAGGGAAGGATCTGGCCTGGTCTCTTGTTCTAACAAGAATGAGAGAAATAAAAACAAAGGCAGCCATCAAGCTCTAACAGTAACTATGTACTGACTACCAGCTAACAGTGCTGTGTACAGACCTGCATATTTATCAGTGGATAATGGCATTGTGGCTAGGCAGACAAATACCTTTGTTCCTAAAAGACAGATGCTAAAATTTTAGGGGTAGAATGATACTATGTCTTCAAATTACTGAAGACTGAATTTCTGTACCTGGTTGAGAAATTGAACTGCCATGGAGTTATAGGCCAGAGGAAACAAGTAACAGTCTCTTCTAGACAGTTGGGGAGAGTGGGCTGGGTAGCTCGTAGAGACCTCAGTGCCCTGTCTGTGTGGGTTCAGGTATGGGAAGAAGGATGGGCTACAGGCAGCCAGGTCCTTCCAGGCCAATAGACCCGCATCAGCTGAGCATGGCAGCAGTGTGTGAGCAGCACGTGGACCCTGTGGGACCCTGCGTACTTTATGGCAGAGGCACGAAAGCTGCTGCTGGCTGTTGCTTCATCAGGGTCAGCAACGAGGTCGGCATTCAGTGCTCCATTGTTGGCTGGCAGCTTGACCGTCGTTGGCTTCGTCTGTCTGAAGCGACCATGGCAGGTGTGGCAGCACTAGTGCTTTTCTATTTATTTTCTTTTGGCAGTGGAGCGGGGATCTAACTCAAGGCAACATGTATGCTGAGCAAGAAAGTGCCCTACCACTGAGTTCCATCCCACCCTCTCAGCTGTTTTTTGACTTTAGATGTTTTATAGGCAATTCACATTATTGTAAGGTAGCATGGGATTATTCTTTCTACCTGTTGTGTGGCACATAACACAGTACAGATGTTCTATGTCTTATTTGGTAGGTCCTCTCTACTAGTGGTTGGGTATCAATGCTGTGGTGAACATCAATTGTTTTCTGAACAATACCTTTGGTTTGTCAGAGTGGAAGACAAAAGCAGTGAGATATGACTTCACCACTTTTTATATTTTTATCTACTTCAATGTCTGGCACAGGGTTGACTCTTGATAACTGTGTGTTGGATTGATAAGGACAAACTGACTAGACACGGGTGTAGAATGAAAAGTTCAGCTCTTAAACTTTCTACACTTAGAAACTAGGTCTTCGTGGGTTAGTGAATGAAGATTTCATGTTTTGTACCCCAGACCAGAAAGGAGGAGATATTTCATTAGTTTGTTTGTTTTTTTGCTTTGGCAAAGTTGCAAAATAAGTACAAATCTTGTTTTACTCTTGAAGTCCTCCCAAGTAACTTGAGAAGGGAGAACAAATGAAGGAAGAAAGAAAACATAAGACTGAAAATCAAACAGCGACCAGGAAATGAAATAACCAAGCTGCAGGCACATTTACGTTCATTTGGGTTCTACAGTCAAAATATATGCTGAATACAGTCTCTCTCTCCACCACTCTCTGCAGAATCAATCTTGGGAGGCAGCTGATCAGGTAAAGGAGCGAAATCATCTTTGCTGAGCCTTGGCATGGAGCATTTCTTGTAGGCAGGTTTGGGAACACAGTAAAGTCCAAAGGTGACCGAAGCAGTCTAATGCCATTGACCTTGGAAATGAGCAGACAGAAGGAGAAGTGGAAGTTAATCTGACTCCCACAGAATACTGCATACAATGGTACAAGGCTTCTGCACAGTTCGAGAATAGGACAGAGAGGGGAAAAAAGGAATAGAGCTGTGAATTTATGAATGTATTAAAAGAGAATGACTTGAAAGAATGATGAAATTTCTAATTTTACAGAATAAGAGCCAGCTTAGCTAAGAGTATAAGTAGCATTTCCACCAATAGTCATAGCACACGAGGTCTAGGCCCTGCACTTGGCACAGGGGACAAAACTACTTAAGAGTAGTTTGGGAAGTTTGCTTTGTCTTTTGGGGAAAGGAAGCTGAGACTGACTCAAGGGCCTGACATGGTAAATACATGTCCCACAATCATACTACACCTCCATTTCTTTATGATTTGTTTTATTTTGAGATAGGGTCTCAGTAAGCTGCCCTAGCTGGCCTAGGACTTCGGATCCCCCCACTGCAGCCTTCCAAGTAGCTGAGATCATAGGCACCATCTCATGCCCACTCCACAGCAAACTGACACCTACTAATCTTTTCCAGATATCCTTTCTGGGACAGTAGCCTAGTCCCTCTGTTGTAGGCTCAGTCAAGCTATTTTCTAGCCTGCCACTGAGCAGCCTGGCAACCCTCTGGCTACTCAAGTCCAGAAGCAACAGTTCTATACTTAGGGGAAATGGCAGAAAATGGCTACTTTCCTCTTGCCTTTTATCAGAAGCAAAAATAAACTAAAATTTTTTTTGTTTGGGCACTACATTTCAGCTCACATTTTGGCACTGCCAGAGGAAAACTTCCAGACAAAGGCAAGAAGAGTACAGTACACTTCTGCTAGGGCGCAGAACACTCCCTCACAGAGACCTAGTCATTACCATGTAAAAAGGTTCAGAGCCAGAAAAAGAAACAGCACAAAGTTCCTGGGTGAAAGCAAAAAACAACACAAGACTAGTATTTTTCACTGCATACAACACACAACTCCAAGGTGATGAATATGGGGGAAAAATATCTGAAGCATCACGGGAAAGGCCAAGACAAAAAAAAAACAAAACCTGTGCTTTGGGAATGTTTCTCTTTTGCACAGAGGAGGATGCCTGACCTGGAAGTCAGACTGGCCTTCACATTATGCCTGCATTTTGTCAAAGGACAATATAAAATAAAAGAGAATTATTTCCATTTTTATTATTTGGCAGAAAAATAACAAGCTGGTTATGTTACCAGCTTTCTTATGGAAACTAGCCAAGCACAATTAATGCCATAGTAAAAGCTGGGCACCCTGGTATCATTTGAAGGCAGAGTAGTTTTTGACCATGTCACATAAGAGCAGACCTTGACTTCAGGTCTGCAGAGTTGAGGCTTCACAGGCATATGTGAATCGTTAATAAGAGAATAAACTCTTGGTCCACTGTTCTTTCCTTGGTAAAGTTTCTACGTTTGTCCGTTTCAAGAAGGGGGTCTCACTATGTAGTCTTGGCTGGCCTGGAACTTGATAGATAATGTAGAAAAGAATGGCCTTGAACTCACAGAAATTCACCTGTCTCTGCCTCCCGGATGCTGAGATTAATGGTGTGAACCACCATACTTAACCTTCATTTGGAAGAGTAAGGGCACAAGGAAAGCAAATGAGACTGTTGATTCAATATGGCTTCACATACAAAAACACACAAAGGGATGATGAGGCTATTGGTGTCCCTCTTTAATGTCCTGAACCTAAACTTACCTCAAGCCTTCCTTTCAGGTGTCTGACTCTCAGTGTCCTTTGAAATTTGTTTTTGATGCTGTAGATGGAAACTGTCTAGCTTCTGCATGTCTTCTGTAAGGCCATTTCTGAGGTCTGTGTTGTTTTTCAAAAACTCTTTCACCACATCCAGTCGATTTGAGACCTGCAAGAGGAAAGTGTACAAGTGCCATTCTGTGCTATTCACAACAGAATTCAATTCAGGTGAACGTGGAGGTTGCCTCACAAGGCTGGAGCTAGAGCTCAGCATCAGGAGCATGCCCCTGAACAAACAACCTGTTCCTGTCTATATGTTTACCAGAAGACAGAAACACCAGCTACTGGCACCCATCCATACATAGGTTAAGTCTTCAAATCAAAAACAAATTATTTTTTATTGCTTTATAAATAATACCATTCAAAATTTCCCAAAAACAAATTCTTTTTTGCAATTAATGTATTTATTATGTATACAACAGTCTGCCTCCATGTATGCCCGCACGCCAGAGCAGGGCACCAGATCTCATTACAGATGGTTGTGAGCCACCATGTGGTTGCTGGGAATTGAACTCAGGACCTCTGGAAGAGCAGTCAGTGCTCTTAACCTCTGAGCCATCTCTCCAGCCCATCAAAAACAAATTCTTTAAAACAAGGCAAACTCATGTCATATGTGGTAGCTCAAACTTTTGTCCCAGCAGAGGGAAGGCAGAAGCAGGTCAATCTCTGTGAATTTAAGTCCAGCCTGTCTGAAGTCAGCATGTGGAGGGCTGAGGCAGGAAGATCACTACAAATTTCAGGCCTGTATCGATATATAAATAAAGACAAACAAAACAAGTACCTTTCACTCAAACTAAACATATTCCAGTATAGCTAATTCTAAGACTACATCGGGGGTGTTTGCTTATTACCTCAATTTTTTTTGCTTCAAAACTCAAGTTTAAAGTGTTTATCTTACATTTGAGATTTTTTTTTGCCTATACAAGTATTTCTAGTAGAAGATACATCTATAAAATAGTATTAAATGTACAGACACAAAATCCTAAGTCAATAGGGTATATAAGGTTAAAAAGTCAATACTCTTAAATCTTTCCTTAGTTATCCCATTCTCTCCTTTACAGGTGGGTGATGTTATAGTCATCTCATTTCTTTTTCTTTTTTTTTTTTTTTGAGACAAGGTTTCTCTGTGCAACAGCCCTGACTGTACTGGAACTTGTTTTGTAGACCAGGCTGGCCTCAAACTCACAGACATACCCCTGCCTCTGTCTCCTGAGTGCTGGGATTACAGAAGTGTGCCACCTCTGCTGGTGCCATTTTATTTCTTCTGGAGACATGTCATGTGCTCGTGTGTATGTATTTTTTAAATATGGAATGCTTCACAAATCTGCATAAAATCTTCGCATCTGTATCACCCCAATTTTAGTATTGTGCTAGTAGTGAAACCTCGTCTCAAACAAGAAAGTCTGGGCTCCATCCTCAGTACTGTAACAGTTTACAGTGTGTTTAAAAAATATATACATAAGCTTGGAAGAGAAAAGAAAAATTATAGAGAAAGTCCTTAAAAAAAGAAATAGAGTTGCAGGGTGTAATGGCGCACGCCTTTAATCCCAGCACTTGATAGGCGGAGGCAGGTGGATCTGTTAGTTTGAGGCCAACCTGGTCTACAGAGTGAGATCCAGGACACCCAAAGATACACAAAAAACCCCGTGTCATAAAAAACAAAAATTTAAAAAAAGAAACAGTTTTTTAAAAATGCAACAAAAAGACAGAAAATACACAGATAATCTGGATACTGTATGTTATTGTGTTGTCTTTAAATTGTTTGACTGCTGAGGAAGAAGCAACAGCTGCTAAAAGACATTTGATTATAAATGCTGTTGGATTAATTCAACATATATATTTTGAAAAATGCATTGACTTCAAAATTTATTTTACTTTGGAGAAGAAGTATTGATTTTGTTTCCACTGGTAATGAAAGGCTGTGTGTTTATTCTGGGTTAAGGAAAATAAGGTTTGATTGAGGAAGATTACCTGAAAAATCTCCAATGGGAACAGATAGCCCAGTTCTACATCCAGAACAGTTTCAAGACTGCTGGCTGAGATGATCCAGCCTCACAGAATACTACAGTCAGGACTTGACCATAACCCTAAATTTTTTTTTAGGTTCTCATAAGATTATCAGCACCCCCAATCAGCAGGAAGAAGGAGCCTAGAAATCTATGCCCACATTCCCAAAAAATGGATTATGGATGTGTGTCTTTGTTTAGTATGTTAGTTACAAATTGTTATGGATAATGGTCAGAAAAAAAGCTGAAGAAAGGAGATTAGATTCAGGGTCTTGTTTTGAAAGGAAAAAAAGTGGAAATGCTGTGAGATAATGTTTTTGTTCACTGTAAAGATTTGTCACTCATATTAGTTTAATGCAATGGTGATTGGCCAGTAGCCAGGCAAAAAGCATAGGTGGAACAAACAGATTAAAAGAATTCTGTGAAGAGGAAAGGCAAAGTCAGTCACCAGTCAGGGAGAGAGAAAGAAGATGCCTTACTTGAGAAAAGGTACCAAGTCACATGACTAAACAGAGATATGAATAATGGGTTAATTTAAGATGTAGGAGCTAGTTAATAATAAGCCTGAGCTAATAGGCCAAACAATTTATAATTGATATAAGCCTCTCTGTGTTTTTTTTTGGGGGGACTGAATGGCTACAGAACTTGGGCAGTACAGAAACTTCTGTCTATACCATTGAACAAAAAGGCATAAAAATTCATATTTATCTTTTCTACAGAGAGACCTGGTGCCCCTTTCCCAACTCAAATGGGTAAGGAGAACTAGAAATGTACAGTGACCAATGCCTCTGAAGCAGCAGACCAGCTGCACATGAAGGGCTACACATTTCCAACACTTACTATCTGCTACTCTAAAAATCTCTTTACCTTATAAAAATCAGTAGTGTTACCCTACTGATTTCAGGGACTAAAGTCCAAACAGCTTGGTATGGCACAGAAAATCTTTCAAGACAGTCCCACCCTACCTTGCCACACTCCTCCATAATCATACTACTGCCCAGCCCAAACTATCCTTTCATTCTTCTGCTAAGAACATCCTTCTTCCCAGGCCAACTACTGACCTCTTACTAAATCCTTGAGTTGTAGCTCAATAGTAACTCCCCCCCCCTTTTTTGGAGGGTATCCCCTGAGAACTGATAACCCATCAAGCATCCTGACCTGAGTTCTGTTTTAACCCTTATGCCACGATTCCACTTTGGGGCACTTACTAAGTTATCAAATTTGTGCTAAATGAAAATACTCGTTAAAATATATGACCAGGCTGGCAGGTTGTGGCATGCCTTTAATCCCAGCACTCAGGAGGCAGAGGGAGGCAGATCTCAGTGAGTTTGAGGCCAGCCTGGTCTACAGAGCTAGTTTTGGGACAGTCAGGGCTGTTACACAGAGAAACCCTGTTTCGAAAAACAAGAACCCAAAACAAATGTTAAAAAAGTAAAAATAAAAAATATGATCAGAGGACAAGTAGTGGTAATGCACATGTTTAATCCCAGTACTCTGGAGGAGGAAGAAAGTAGGTATCTAATTCAAGGACAGCCTGGTCTACAGAGTGAGTTCCAAGACACCCAGGGCTGTTACACAAAGAAATCCTGTTTTGAAAACCAAACCAAATCAAACTAAATAAAACAATAAAACGAAAATTTGGTCAGTAAACATTGGGAGAATATATACTTCTAGAAATCACTTGACTTGCCCATCAAAATCCCAGCAAAATTCTTCAATGACCTTGAAAGAACGGGTACTCAACTTCATTTGGAAAAGCAAAGAAAACCCAGGATAGTCAAAACAATCCTGTACAATAAAAGAACTTCTAGAGGCATCACAATCCCTGACTTCAAACTCTACTACAGAGCTACAATGCTGAAAACAGCCTGGTACTACTGGCATAAGAACAGACAAAAAGACCAATGGAACCAAACAGAAGACACGGATCCACACACCTTCTTCGAACACCTGATTTTTGATAAAGAAACAAAAATTATCAAATAGAAAAAAGAAAGCATATTTAATAAGTGGTGCTGGCATAACTGGATATCAACATGTAGAAGAATGAAAATAGACCCCTATCTATCACCATGCACAAAACTCAAGTACAAATGGATCAAAGACCTCAACATAAAGCCAGCCACACTGAACCTTATAGAAGAGAAAGTGGGAAGTACACTTGAACACATTGGCACAGGGAACCACTTCCTAAATAGAACCCCAGCAGCACAGACACTGAGAGAAACAATTAATAAATGGGACCTCTTGAAACTGAAAAGCTTCTGTAAAGCAAAGGACACGGTCAACAAAACGACAGCCTACAGAATGGGAAAAGATCTCCACTAACCCCACATCAGACAGAGGTCTGATCTCCAAAATATACAAAGAACTCAAGAAATTGGACATCAAAAGATCACATAATCCAATAAAAAATGGAGTACATACCTAAACAGAGAACTCTCAACAGAGGAATCTAAAATGGCTGAAAGACACTTAAGGAAATGTTCAACATCCTTTAGTCATCAGAGAAATGCAAATCAAAACAACTCTGAGATTCCATCTTACACCTGTAAGAATGGCCAAGATTAAAAACACTGATGACAACTTATGCTGGAGAGGTTGTGGGGAAAAGGGAACACTTCTGCATTGCTGGTGGGAATGCAAGCTGGTACAGCCCCTTTGGATGTCAGTGTGGTGATTTCTCAGAAAATTAGGAAACAACCTTCCTCAAGACCCAATAATACTACTTTTGGGTATATATCCAAAGGATGATCAATGGTGCCACAAGGACATGTGCTCAACTATGTTCATAGCAGCTTTGTTTGTCATAGCCAGAACCTGGAAACAACCTAAATGCCCCTTGACTGAAAAATGGATAAGGAAAATGTGGCACATTTACACAATGGAGTACTATACAGCAGAAAATAATGACATCTTGAATTTTGCAGGAAAATGGATAGAACTAGAAAACATTTTGAGTGAGGTAACCCAGACACAGAAAGACAATTATCACATGTACTCACTCATAGGTGGTTTTTTAAACATAAAGCAAAGAAAGCCAGCCTACAAACCACAATCTCAGAGAACTTAGACAACAATGAGGACACTAAGAGAGACTTACATAGATCTAATCTACATGGAAGTAGAAAGTATAAAAAGACAAGATCTCCTGAGTAAATTGGGAGCATTGGGACCTTGGAGAAGGGTAGAAGTGAGGAGGGGAGAGGCTGGGAGGAGAGCAGAGAAAAATGTAGAGCTCAATAAATATCATGGGAAAAAATAAAAATAAATAAATTTTATAGAAAAAAGAAGAAAGAAAGAAATCACTTGACTTAAAAATAAAAAACCTGGCTCTCTGTGTCTGATCTGGTTGGAATTTTATGTCAACTTGACATAAGTTAGAGATATTTGAAAGATGGGACCACAATTGAGAAAATGTTCCCACCAAATTGGTCCATGGGCAAGCCTGTGGGGCATTTTCTTGATTAAGGATTGATGTGGGAGGGCCAGGCTTAACTCAGTGTGGGTAATAGCACCCTTGGGCAGGTGGGCCTGAGTTGTATAAGAAAGCAGGCTGAACAAGCAAAGAGAAGCCAGTAAGCAGTGCTCCTCCATGGCTTCTGCTTCAGTCCCTGCTTCCAGGTTCCTGCACTGACTTCCCTAAGTGATGAAGTGTGAACTGAGCTATAAGCCTAAATTAACCCTTTCTTCCCCCAGCTGCTTTGGGTCATCATGTTTATCACAGCAATAGAAACAGTGTCAAAACGAGCTACTATTGCTGCTCTGGCTATCATCTTTCTTTCTCCTCACATTTCATTCTTTCCTTTACCTCTTCAGGCAACACCTCTTCTTCTGCTGCTTGAAGATAAATATCTTGCAGTTTTTCCTTCAGCAATTCCATTTCAATTTCATGGATTTGGCTCACACTCAAGTAACTTCCTATTTCAAATTTACACCCATCTCGTTCATCTTCCTCAGGAATGTGAACAGCCCAGTCAGATGTCAACAGCTATGGGGTGACCACACAAATACATGAACAAATTATTTTTTAAATTTCAGGTTTTAAAATATTTTTTATGAATTCTTTTGGAATTTCATAAATGTACAAATGTATTTTGATCATATTCACATCTAACTCCTCTTCCAACTTCTCTAAGATTCATCCTCACATTAAAAGTTCATTCTTAAGATGTATCACTGTTTGCAGTTTTGGGGATGGAACTCAGGGACTAACTGAGGATGTGGCCTGCTGGTAGATAACAACCCTACCAGCAAGCCACACCCTCAGCCACTTGTACTGCAATAAGAGAGAGCCTGTAATTGAGTGCAGGCCTAACAACCTTAGATATCTTGGATCTCTTAAAGTCAAAGGAGAGAACAGACTCCCAGGAGTTGTCCTCTGATCTCCACATGCACGTGTGCACATCAATGTGGAAACACATGCACACACATATACACACAAAATAAATGAACAATATTAATGGAAAAGAAATTCTACTGGGTAACTTGAAGGATTTATAATAAAATACCATTATCTAGATAGACCTATTTTAACCACACAGTTATTAAAGGAAACAAAAAAAACTCTGTTAAGTCCACATTTTATACCAGCAGTTTTTCCTCTGTTCACATTATAAAATTTAGCTTGGGGTTAAGATTGTAGTTCAGTGAGAAAGTGCTTGCCATGTGAAAGGCCCAGCCCTAGGTTCTACCCCAAGTAGGCTCTCCAAATAATAACAGAATAAAATAAAGACTAGGAGTATAGAGTGCTTGTCAGAAATGAGGATCTGTGTGTGATTATCATCAGTACTGCAACAATAATAAATATATTTTAGTTTAAATAAACATCAAATTCACCTTACTTCTTAAGTAGCCCAGGCTTCCCAGGAGCTTACTATGTAATAAAGACTACCTTTGAAATAGCCATACTTCTGCCTCAGTGTACCAAGTGCTGACTTACATATACCACCACACCTGACTTAACATCAAAAAAGACTATGGATGTTTTAAACCCCTTAGGTTTGTATACCAGAACTGTTAAATGAAGTTTCAGATGGGCATAGTGGTGCATGCCCATAATCCCAGCACTCATTTAAGTAGACCATCTTTACCTGTTCTATTCTGGAATGTACTGCTTCAATCTCTGGAATATTCTTGAATTCATTCAGAAAATGTTGGATCTTTATCTGAAAATCTTGAAGCCATGTAGATGATACTTTCATCTCTGAAGAGTGCATTATCTCATTCCGACACTTAATTACCTACAGAAAAAAAAACGGAGTTGGGCTGGTAAAGGTGTTTGTTGCCAAGCCCAAGAGCCTGAATTCAGTCCCTGGAACCCACACAGTAGAATGTAGGATGAATTGAATGAGCCTCAAACAGGCTCATGTTTTTGAATAGCTGATCCCCAATTAGGGAACTGGTATGGGAAGTCCTTCTGTATATGTGTTGCTTTTATTGGTTAATAAAGAAGCTGCTTTCGGCCAATGGCTCAACAGAACATAGCCAAGTTGAAAGAGATAGAGAGTAGGTGGAGTCAGTGAGAAGCCATGGAGCTGCCAGAGGAAAAAGATGCAAGCTGCCAGCTGGAACCTGGCTGGTAGGCCATGAACCTCGTGGTAAAATACAAAATAATAGAAATGGGTTAATTTAAGAAATAAAAAATTAGCCGGGGGGGGGGGAGGGGGGCTGGAGAGATGGCTCAGAGGTTAAGAGCACTGACTGCTCTTCTGGAAGTCCTGAGTTCAATTCTGAGCAACTACATGGTGGCTCACAACCATCTATAATGGCATCTGATGCCCTCTTCTTGTGTGCAGGGGTACATGCAGATGGAGCACTGTCACGAGCCATTTCCCCCCTAAAAATCATTACAGGAACCATCACCCTGGGGAGTTTGCAGGGAACCCCACACCCATAATTATGTTCTATTGACAGAACCTGCCCACACCCAATTAGCTGTTATCTGTTAGCGGAACCTGCCTCACATTCCAGCTATCCAGGGAACCAGGTGTGGCAACTTGTGACTTCTTGGCCTACCTGTCCATAACCTCCTGGCCTACGTGATGAACCTGAACCACGTGACCTGGAACACGCGGCAAGAATCTCGTTTCCCTACCCCCCAAGCCCTCATTCAGGGGCTATATAAACAGCAACCATGATCCTAATAAAGGGGGCTTTGACAAATCTGCTTGGCCTCCTTCTTCTGTCTTAGCTCATTCCCTTCCAGGTAGCGCCCCTCCGAGACCCTGGAGTAACTGATTGCAGGGTGGGTTACAAACCCCTAGACTGAGTAACCCACCCAATGCAATCGACAGAGCACTCATACCAAAAACAAATAAAAAGGCATAAATAAAAATTTGCTGGGCTGTGGTGGCACATGCCTTTAATCCCAGCACTCGGGAGGCAGATCTCTGTGAGTTAGAGGCCAGCCTGATCTACAAGAGCTAGTTCCAGGACAGACTCCAAAGCCACAGAGAAACCCTGTCGTGAAAAACCAAAATAAATAAATAAATAAAATTGTACACCAACCAGAATTAGCCAAAAATATGCTTAAGCTATTGGCCAAACAGTATTGCAAATAATATGATTTCTCAGTGAAATTTCAGGTCTGAGTATCTGGAAACAAATGCGCAGCCTCCACCAACAGGAAATTGTTTGGGAAGAATTAGGAGCTGTGTGACATTGTTGGAGGACAAGACTCACCAGGGTCAGGCTTTGTTGTTTCAAAAGACTCAAGACATTCCCAGCATGTTCTCTACTTACAGTTCATGTGCATGCTCAGCTGTTCCTGTTGCCTTGCTTTTACTCTAGCAAGTATTTAAAATAACATATACAATACAATAAAGCCTTTAGCCCCTTTAATTTGTGCCTGCCCCGAGGGCATCTATCAAGCAGTGAAATCTCTGTTGAGTCACATACTGAAATGTTCTCAAGGGACAGGTGACACCTTAGTGAAGCTGGTTCAAACAGCTAGGAAAATGAAGGCAGAGGGATAGGCATGAAGTAGAGAATGGATGTCCCATTTAAACAGCAGCTTACTAACCTTGTGATTTGTTGCTATGGGAGGAGTGAACTCACTGTCACCAGATCTTATTTGTTATTTTAAAGATAGAAATTCTGATATGACAACTAATTCAAAAGTTGTCTTAAAAATAACTAGACAGGGACTGGCTAGAACTTGGCAGGAACTGCCAAGCCTGAAAACCTTCAAGCCCTGGGACCCACAAGGTAGGAGGAAAGAACTGACTTTTGAAAGTTATCCGCGCCAGGCGGCCTTTAATCCCAGCACTTGGGAGGCAGAGGAAGGTGGATCTCCGTGAGTTCGAGGCCAGCCTGGTCTACAAGATCTACTTCTAGGACAGGCTCCAAAGCTACAGAGAAACCCTGTCTCGAAAAAAAAGAAAAGAAAGTTATCCTCTTACAGTTACATGACCACATCTACACATGCAAACACACACACACACACACACACACACACACACACTTATACACACACCAAATAAATATACGGCATTTGGTGGTTAAGAGTACTTTTTGGCCAGGCGGTGCTGGTGCACACCTTTAATACCGACACTCGGAGGCAGAGGCGGCTGGATCTGAGTTTGAGGCCAGCCTGATCTACTTGCTCAGTTCCAGGACAGGCAGGGCTACAGAGAAACCCTGTTTTAAAACTCCTTCCCTCAAAAAAGGCACTTGTTGCTCTTTCAAGGAGCCTAGGTTTAGTTCCTAGTACTCACACAGAGCCTCACAACCTCTGTAACTCTAGCTCCAAGAGATCTGATGCCCTGTTAGTATTCAGGCATCTGTACTAGCTGCCTTTGAGGTCCTGACAGGATGGATCCATCTTCAGCTGTAGCCATTAAGAGCACCTTCTGTTCACATTGGCTATGTTCCCTTTTAAAAGATGGGCCCTGTCCACCTCCTATTTCTCTCTCTCTCTCTCTCTCCTCTCTCTCTCTCTCTCTCTCTCTCTCTCTCTCTCTCTCTCTGTCTCTCTCTCTGTCTCTCTCTCTCTGTCTCTCTCTCTGTCTCTCTGTCTCTCTGTCTCTGTCTCTCTCTCTGTGTCTCTCTCTGTGTCTCTCTCTGTCTCTCTTTCTCCCTCTTTCTTCTTCTGCCTCTCTCTTCTCCTCTGCCATTCTTGTCCCCAGAGGCTGGTCTCTCCCCCACCATTTTCCCATTCACTTCCCCTAACAATCCCCCCCATCTGAGCTGCCATGTGGTCTTTTCTCTCTTGTGCTGCTTTTTAAATTACAACACCCTCTTCTGACCTCCACAGGCACCAGGTAGACACATGGTGCACATACATACATGTATGCAAAATACTCATATACATATAGTAAATGACAAAAAATTAAATAAACTTAAGCCGGGTGATGTGGGAGTGTCATATATCAATCTGTTGATTTCATTGGTTAAGTTATAATAAACCAACTGCTTGGCCTCAGCTTAGAACATAGATGGGAGGAGTAAACAGAATAGAATTCTGGGCAGAAGAGGAAGTGAGGTCAGACTCTGCTCTGCTCCCGGAGAGACCCGACAGCTCTGCTGGAGCAGAGACACCAGGATGGACGGAGGCTAGACTCTTCCCGGTAAGCGCACCTTGGGGTGCTTACACACATCATTAGAAATGGGCTAGTCCAGGTGCGAGAATTAGCCTGTAAGGGCTAGAGTTCATGGGCCAAGCAGTTCTTTAAATGAATACAGTTTGTGTGTTGTTATTCCGGGCATAAGGTAGCCAAGCGGCCGGGGTGTTGGGGACGCAGCCCCGCCGCTTCATATTTCAACAGCCGGGCGATGGTGGCACATACCTTTAATCCCAGCACTCGGGAGGCAGAGGCACGCGGATCTCTGTGAGTTTGAGACCAGCCTGGTCTACAAGAGCTAGTTCCAGGACAGGCTCCAAAACCACAGAGAAACCCTGTCTCGATAAACCAAAAATAAATAAATAAATAAATAAATAAATAAATAAACTTAATAATTTTGTAAACTCAGATAGGATAAATAAAGTAGGTCTGCAAGCCAGATTTGGGGGTATAGAAGACTGTCAAGGGTTAAGGAATTATTCAACCAAGTGACACAAGAATGACAATCAAGGTAGAGAAATACAAAGAAGGAGCTGGAGAGGTGGCTGAGTGGTTACGAGCACCTGACTCCCAACACTTCCATCGCAGGTAAGAAAGACTATACCTCCAGTCCATGGAGTCTGACATCCTCTGCTGGCCTCCACTGGCACTACATGCACATGGTACACAGATATGCATGCAGACACAATACCCACACACATAAAATAAAAATAATCGCTCTTTAAACAAAAAGGTTGACAGTCATGGTGGCATGCAGTTGAAATAACAGCGCTTGGGAGGCAAGAGAATCATGAGTTCAAGGCACACACAGTGACACCTTGTCTCAAGAAGAAAATAAACAAGAAAAACAAAGAAATCTCCATCCTTTGCCCTGAAAATCATTTTCCCCAGATGTCTTTGCACATATCTGTGACATAAGCTGGAGTCATTTTGGGAAAGGTAACCTCAGCTAAAAAATGCCTCCAATCGATTGGCCTGTGGTACATTTTCTTGACTGATGTCCTACCTCACTGTGGGTGGTGCCACCTGTTATATAGGCAGCATTCCTCCATGGCCTCTGCATGAGCTTCTGCCCCCCGCCCCCGGGTTTCTACCTTGTCAAAGTTCTTTTTTTTTTTTTTAAATATTTATTTATTTATTATGTATACAATATTCTTTCTGTGTGTATGCCTGAAGGCCAGAAGAGGGCACCAGACCTCATTACAGATGGTTGTGAGCCACCATGTGGTTGCTGGGAATTGAACTCAGGACCTTTGGAAAAGCAGGCAATGCTCTTAACCTCTGAGCCATCTCTCCAGCCCTTGTCAAAGTTCTTGTTCTGACCTCCTTCAATGATGGACTGTGCTGTGGAAGTGTAAGCAGGTTGGTTTTAGTCATGGCAAATAGCACAGCAATAGGAACCCTAACTAAGATAAAGTTTTTATTCCTTTAAAATTTTTTTTGCATATTTTTTCTCCCAAATGACTTAAAACAACCTGCTACAGAGCAAGTATACTGGCTCCAGATATAACCTCAGGCTGCAGCAGACAACTCACAAATGCACAAAATCTTTCAAATCCCATCCAGTGCTAGGAAGTTGAGTAAAGGGAGATTTCTGATGTGGAAACCGTAATGAAAACAAAATAAACTTTTGCTTATGAGAAAAACGGTGCTACTACATATTTAAAGACAATTCAAATGGTCTGTGTTCTTGACTAGAAGAGGAGATTAACCACTATGTTAAATGCTCATCTCGGGGAGGGGGGAGATTTAATATCATCAATTTATCTTCACTTGCTGCTATGCTGCTGAAATAGTATCATTTTTGACCAATATTATAAATAACCCAAGACTTCTACACATTCTTTTCAAGGGCCTCAAAATTAAAGATGAGTGAGGGTTATTGTTTGGCGATATAGTGGAAAATCAAAACCTTCTGGAATTCTGCGACAGGGAGAACAATCTCCCCTGACATGCATTGCACATTAGTGCTTATATTTTCTTCTACCTAACTTGATCTCATGGCTATTTTGTAGAAGGCCAGTGTTGTTTCCGTTGTTTGTTTTATTTTGGCTTGTAATTGTGGGGACAAGGATGGAATTTAGAGCCTTGTGCATGCCTTACAAGCACTTTACCACTGAGTTTCACACCTAACTCTGTATTTTTATTTAAAGTTTTAGTCCTGGAACTCACTCTGTAGACTAGGCTGGCCTCATACTTACAGAGATCTGCCTGTCTCTACTTCCTGAGCACTAGAATTAAAGGCACATGTCACCACTGCCCAGTGCCCTGTGTTTTTCTGTCTTGCGTATGTGTTCTATGCATGTATGATCCTGTGTCTGTGTAGAATCCAAATGCCAACATAGGGTATCTTCCTCCATAACCCTTCACCTTATTTTTTGAGATAGGGTCTCTCAATGTACTTGGAGCATACTGGTTATGCTAGACAAGCTGCCCAGCAAGCCCTGTCTCTGTCCTTCTCCCCAGTACTGGGGTGACAGATGAACACTGTCACACCCAGCTACGTAGGAGCTTGGAATCTGAACTGAGGTCCTCATGTCTGCCTACTGACTGACCCATTTCCTCAATATCAGACCCATTTTTTATATAGAAAACAACTTTGCTCTTGTTTATGGCAGAACAGAGAAGATAAATCTCAGTTCCATGTATAGCACTGTGGTGGCCTGAATGAAAACGGCCCCCATAGGCTCATTTGGTGTGGTACTATTAGGAGGTGTGGCCTTGTTAGAGTAGGTGTGGTCTTATAGGAGGAAGTGTGTCACTACTTAGCTTTGAGGTTTCAGAAGCTCAAGCTAGTCGCAGTATCACTCTTTCTTCCTGTTGCCTGCAGATCCAGGACTCTCAGCTCCTTCTCCAGCATCACGTCTGCCTACATGCTACCATGCCTCCCACCATGCCAACAATGAATTAAACCAGCCCCAATTAAATGTTTTTCTTTATACAAGCACAGTAACAAATTGTCAGGAAACTTTAATTTTAGAGAGCTATAGGGTTAGTGCTTGACCACATTCATATTCAGGTTCTTGGACATCACAGCAGGTACATATGATATGAGGCCCAAGAGCTGTTTAGGGATGCCAATTTTGGACTGAAGTCTTTCTTTGCTATTGCCATTCTGAGTGCTGCTATGCTATGCCTACATGGCTGGCTGATCATCAGCGTTTCATTTCAGCCTTCCTAGTATTGACCACTACGGAGTGGACAGTTCTGAATCTGACAGCTCTTACCTCTGTGACTTTCTTCCGATCAACCACGAAGTGATCACAGCAATTGATGAGACTTAAAAGAGCAACTGCATCACATTCCTCAGGTCCTCGTTTGTCTGCCAGTCCTCGAGGCATGAAGGCCTAGCGTAAGAGAATGTACCAGGTCACTTGAGTGTCCTCCAACTCTTTCTCCATTTCCCAAATGATGACTAATGTTCTCTTATCCCCTGAAGTTTCAAGCTAGAACGTAATGAGTTCAAAATGCAACTTGGAAAGGTCATATCATACTAAGCCTTGGCAAGGGACTAATTGAAGGGTTGCACTATCCCTCTGCAATATTACATATAGCTGGTGTAACTGGTTTTCTTGAACCTCACTATGTAAACCAGGGAGGCCTCAAACTCTTGAGATTTTCCTGCCTCTGCCTACTGAGTGCTGGGATTAAAGGTGGATGCCACCATGCCCAGCCTCTTGTCTTTTTTGTTATTTTGAGACAAGTCTCACTATGTATCCCTGGCTGTCCTGGAACTTGCTATGTAGACCAGGCTAGCCTTGAACTCAAAGAGATCCACTTTCTCTGTCTCCTGAGTGCTGAAATTTAAGCTATGTACCATCAGCTTCTGTCCTGTCTTAGAGGTATATATTAAAAAGATAAATGCTTTCCCCTCTTTTCCTTGGTAAAACTGCAGTGCCTGTCATTAAAGAGTAGACAGTTCCTTAGTAACATGAGAAACTTCTACCCATCACCATAACCTGGAGTATAACAGAGCCAGGTTCAAACACCAGCTAGGCTACTGCCTTATGGCCTTAGGCAAGTTACCTACCTAATCCTCAGTCTCAGTTGGTCATTAGGGGTTAAGTATCGTCATACACATCAAAGGATGGTGTGAGGAGGAAGTTAAGTGGGCATAGAAAAAGCACTGTGCTGAGCATATGGTATAAAGAAATCTGAGCGTCAGCAATTATGACGTCAATGGTGTGAGGTGAGTAGGTCCCATACAGGGGTTAGACAGAAAGCTTAGGGTTGAGACACTAGACACACTGGAAGGCTTCACTGTAGCACTATCCTGTCTTTAGCTGAATCTTCTAAAATAAGTCGCACAAATGCTGAATATATTTTTTTTCCCTGAACTATCTGCAAACTTAACACCTGGATGTAGCAACTTTACCAAACTACAAGTCTCAAGGCACATTCCTGCTACAGGACTAGAGCATCTGCTAGAGTAGAAGACACATGAAAAACATGAAAAATTACTCTCATTTGGGAGCAGTGGCATGTGCCTTTGATTCCAGCACCCAAGAAGCAGAGGCAGGCAGGTCTCTGAGTTTGAGGCCAGCTGATATACATAGACTTCTAGGCCAACTAAGGATACACAGAGGACCCTGTCTCAAAAGAAAAAAGTTATTCTCAATCAGAGCTCTAAAAAAAAAGATATATTCCACTGCAAGAAAACAATCCAGTCGGGAAGCAGTCACAAAGCTTCCTGCAGGATGTGCATACTGGTATTCCAAAGGCTGGCAGTAAGTACAGGGAGCACCAGAGTCATTTGGGACTGAGTTAGACCAAAGGAGTGGGCAGTGAGAACTAGGCAACTGTGATAAAGTCAAGCAGAAGAGAAACTGCCCAGTACCTAGAAGCAGTGGAAGACAAAAGAGCAAGGTCAAGTGTTTGAGGAAGAATGGCAAAAGCAAGCCCAAGTTAGATTCTTAGCCTTTCTGTGTGGACAGGGATTGTGTGAGGGTAGACAATGGGGTGCTGAGGTAGAGTAGATGAAGGATGCTAAGTCAGGGAACCCAGGAACTGAGACCATGGAGTTACACAAGGTTGAACTAAGTGGTTTGCAAGTGGCCAGCAACCAAGGGGAGGAAAGGCTGGCAAGAGAGGTGGCACGGGTTTCAGAAGGGCTCCAAAGCTATGAAAGCCATAATAGAGTCCAAATGGGTCCAAGCCAGTCACAATAAAGGGAAGGGTTTTATTTCTCTAGGCAAAGGTGTTTTTCCCCATATGCTCGAGGGAAAGGCAAAAATTGGAAACACTATTGCAGCAATAAAAAGGTGGATGGGGCTGGAGAGATGGCTCAGTGATTACGTGGATTTACTGTTCTTCCAGAAGAAGGACAGGAATACAGAGCTCCAGGAACAGAAGGCCAGAGGAAGAAGTTACCCATGTTGGGAGATTCACAACCACCTCTTACACCAGCTCCAGTGGACCCAGTTCCTTCTTCTGGCTCTAGTAAGCACCGGAATACAGATGGCATACACTCACACACTGACATATAAAACTTTTCTTGTTTTTTTTTTTTTTTTTTTTTTGAAACAGGGTCTCCCTATGTAGTCTAGCCATGTAGACCAGGCTGGCCTTAAACTCAATAGATCTGTCTGCCTCTACTTTCCCAGTGCTGGGATTTCAGGCAGGCACCACCGAGTCCAGCCCAATAGAAACTTTTCTTTTAAAGTTTTACTCATGTGCACTGGTGTTTTGCCTACATGCATAACTGTATGAGGGTGTTGTGTATCCTGGAACTGGAGTTACAAACATTTGTGAGTTGCTATTTGAATGCTGCGAACTGAATTCAGGTCCTCTGGAAGGACAGCCACCGCTCTTAATCGCTGATCCATCTCTCTAGCCCCCAATAGAAACTTTCTAATCTTATTTTTTAAAGGACTGTTGGGTATAGTAGTACATATATGTAATCCAAAACACTTGGGAGATGGAAGCAGGATGGTTAGGAGTTCAAGGCCAGCCTGGGTTACATGAGATCTTGTCTTAATAAACTGGAAAAGACGGAGAGAACAGAGGTGGACTCAACATGTTAACTGCAGTCCCAGCAATGCCCCCCTTCCACCTGGCAATTGTGTACTTGTCCATATACTAACTCCTAAAGTCACCTTGTGTTAGGAGGCTACTTCTGACCCATCCTTCCACTCACTACTGAGCTTCCAGGAAACATCAAGAAATCAAAACAAATTCCCAATCAGCCCAGGCAGTATGTTACAGCGCCAAAATCTAAAGACAGGCCTAACAACATCTATCTCATAACTCATCACAGTTCTACCTTCTAAAATTTTATACCTTGGCTAGGCACTCCGCGGGCAAAATGAGCCTTTTAATGATCCTGCCGTAAGGCACACCTTATCTCTTCTTCCATGTCCCCTGGTCTGTACCTTCTTTCCCCTTCTTTTGAGACAAGGTCTTAAACAACATAGCCTAGGATATCCCCAAACTTGAGCAACCCTGCCTGGGCCTCTGTAGTGGTGGAATTACAGGCATGAGCCACAGCACTTGGCTTCACTACACATCTTGCATCAGCATTTCTTATTGAAATCTTTACTATAGCTTCCAAGAAGCAAAGCTCAAAAGCCTGAAGGAAGAGCTAAAAGATTCTGTTTTAGTGCACTGGGATGGGTCCAAACAGCCTTTAACCACTAGAACACTAGGCCAACTAATCTCTTTGTACCTGTAGTTTCGAAAGTCTCAGCTTTCACTCACAAACCATCCTCTGCCCTGGGGCAACAGGTGACCTGCCTTCGGCTTTCCTCCAGGCTGCAAGTGCTTACCTTGGCTACCTCCCAAGCATCCACGGGCCAGAGGCCAGGCCGGCAGTTTCCCCAGTGCACATCTCCATTTCTGTTGACATGATGCCTCAAGATCTCACGTTTCCACTCTGTGCACACCACACACTGAGGCTGAAACTACAGGGGGCAGACATGAGATGAGACCCAGGCGTGCTGGGCAGCAGAAATAGGAACACCCCAGGAGCAGCCCCGCCCCTCGAAAAAAAAAGACAAGTTCAAGGAACTGGGGAAAGGCTGGGAACTGTCCCAGCCCCAGGGCCAGCAGCTTACCTGGCGGGCGCGTGGGCTGCACCGGGAACCACCGCGACAGATGGCGTGGGGACCAAGGCCAGGGACTGCAGCGAGCAGTCCGCGATGGAATGAGAGGACCTCGCGGCGGATGAAGCCCTGCAGACAGCTGCGCAGCAGCAGCAGGCAGTGTCCTGCCTTCACCCAGTTTTTGTACTCAGCGCAATTAAGGCGCACCGCTAGTTCTGACAGCACCATGTCTCAGCCCCGAGCTGAGAAAGGGGTGGGGGGGGGGGCTGGCAGCAGTACGCACGCGCAGGGAACCCTGGGAAGTTCCTACAGCGCGCAAGCGTTGGAGGAGCTTCCAGGCGGCGCAGGCGCAGCCCCACCCAGAAACTATTCCCCACCATTGGTGTTGCTTAGCGTCACTGAGTACCACAATACAATTTGTGACAGACGATAGGGGCGGGGCCATTCTTCCACATCCGGGAAGCTGCAGCTCCTCCACTTCTTAAAGGAACCACCTAAGGTTTGTGGACTTGAAACATTCAGTTGCAGCCTCTGTGATTAAAGCCCTTAGACTTTCTCATTTCCCCAAAAATCCTGCTAGCCCTCTAACCACTCATGATATGCGGATTCCTGCTTTGACTCCTTAAATTGTAAAGATGGAGTACTCAAGGCACATTTCTTGAATTATGCAATTCTAGAAAATTAACTAGTTCCTAACGCCATAGGACAACCGCAGACAATCCCAGTCATCAATAGACCATGCCTGCCATCTGACTGATGCGCAGGTCTATTCTATTGTGTGCTCCCCGGCATGAGCTAAAGTGATACTAGGGCCAGAATCTCCATAATTGGAGCACCTGGCGAGACAAACGTAGATAACGTGTTTCCTGGATTTGGAGGGAGGACTGCACAGTCACAAGCTGAAGCCTTCAGAAAATGTACACCACGGTTATTTCAGCTGTCAGAATACATTAGATTATCAATATAATGTGAGAAAAAGTCACTGTTTTAGATGCTTTTAGTGAAGTTCTTTAGCTTGGAAAACGTGTTGAAATTGTGTGTAATCAAAAGACCTTGAATGAAGGCTGTAAACAGAGAAGGCTTTCTAAGACTCACAGCATAGGTAGTGTTAAGGTGCACTAGTTCTGGGTTCAAACTACCAAGTTTTTGTAGCTTGATCTTAGCTAATTCTAGTTTTAATCCTAATAAATTACTTTACTTCTTTGTGCCTCTGTTAATCATCTGTAAGGTTATTAATACTTACTTACCTCACAGTGTGACGAGAGACATTTATACACATGGAAACACTTAGTATGATGCCTGGCACACAGTAAGCTCTTGGTAAGTGCTAGTTCCCACGTTATAGTGACATAAATATGCCCTTTTATCCATCAGTTTACATTATTGGACAAAGAATTTTATCAAATCACTGGCTAGTTGAAAGTGGGGACAATTTATAAAAAACAGAGACCAGATCTGGTGATCTGAAGACTCAAAATACAGTACAGGCAGGTATCTCTTAATTTGATCTTACTAACCTCAATATTAAACCCATCCAAAGCAAATCCAAATACGCCATCCCATCAAAGCAAATGAAAACTTCAACAAAACCCTACATTAACATTTATCCTTCTCTGAGTTTTCATAAGTTTTCTTAAAAATTTTAAAAGTATAAATTTTGTATTAAGAACATTTGAAAGTAAGGGTGGGACATGCCTGTCTTCCCAGTACTCAGGTGAATCACTTGAACCTAGAAGGTTCAAGGTGAGCCTGAGCAACATGGAAGCAACTCTGTCTTTTTTTTTTACTGGGAAAAAAAGAAAAAGAAAATAATGTAATTGGTATTTCTTTTGGAGAAAAAAAAACAAGACATGGAAGTTTTTAATGGAAAAAAAAGAAGAAAAAGAAAATAATGTAATTGGTATTTCTTTTGGAGAAAAAACAAAACATGGCAGACAAAACTTTATGCCTACTCTTAACCCAGCTAATCTTTAAACAAGGTTCAACTCCTGCGGTTAATAACTGGCCATGCTCTGATCAAGTTATCGCCTTCCTCCTAACTCTAAAAGGCCTTCTATACATTTTAAAATGACATTTTGAAAAGGGCAGATCAGGGCCAATGTCTTCTTTCAGGGTTAAACTAATACTAAACCAAAACTACAACCCAAAATATCTTCACCAAAATTAACTAGAGAGGTGGTAGTTCTCTGAAACTTGTATAAATTTTATTTATTACTGTAAATACTAAAATCACATTGAAAACACCTTAAAGTCAAACCACCTACTAGAGAAAAACCACTATGGAATCCAGTTTCTTTGATTGAACCTGGTTAACAAAAGAGGCAAAAGACATGGTTTGTGATGAAAGTTACGATTCAAATGCTAAGTATTTCCAAGCTTTAATAAAGTATATACCAATTCCAAGTACCAAGCATGATATCAAAATTCAAATTCACTGGTTTACTCTTAAATCAAATTCTGTTCATTGAATCCTATCTTACTCGGTTTACACAATGCATTCAAAGGTGTTATAATTAAGAAAAAGTAGCCATTGAATGCATCATGTATAAAAATGCAATTAACATTTCAAAACCACACTTAAAAGAGAAAATACCTGAAAAGTGAATTCTATTCATAAAATTATTTGAAACAATATCCTGCAGATAAAAATACATTTCTTGTATATACATGTAGATTTCTACATGAAAGATAGGATTCAGTTCCCAATAGAAAAGGGCTGACTCCTGATCAAACCATCTTAGATTGCCAAACCCATGTGATTACCACTGTGAAGAGAACTGAAAACAGAAGGAGAAAAGGGTTAGGTTAAAGGAAGAAGAAGAGTTTAGTCACCCACTCTGGAAAAGTGTCAGAGCTGGGTGAAAAGCAGGAGATGAAGGCAGAAATGAGACACAGAAGACAAAGAAGGCCTCAACTCTGACTGGAAACGAAGATTCAAGCAAAGTTGAGCATATATGATACAATTGCAGTGAGATGCTTAAAACCAGAATCTGATGGTTATAGTTCTAGAATCTCAATTAATCATCTTCAAATGGAATCAGACAAACATCTAAAATTTCATCGAGGACTAATTATATTGGCTAGATATAACTCAGCATGAGTATCATTAAAACACATAAAACAAAAACAAAAAAAACTGCTCCAAATAACATCAAGTTATCAGAAGATATTTGAATCAGATAATATTCATCAAAGCTTAAAAAGTCCTGACTGGCTGTAAGAGACAGTATAATACTCTAGAAAGAAATCCTATTGAGAGGTACCAGTGCCAGAAACTCCACTGGACCCTAGACAGGCCCTGCACTGTGGACTGGACCAGGTTGTGTCCAGCAAAATATCCTATTGCTTTGCTGACAATTAATTAAATTGAGATTGCTCAGAACAACCCCAATTGTGTTGGGAAAGGTAAGAAGTTAAATAAGATAAAGAAATGTCACTGAAACTTCATGCAAACTAGAGCATTCAAGTTCTTTGCTTCCTAGTTAATGCTGTATGCAAAAGTATCCTTTACATGACATTTTCCTAACAAAAAGGTTCCCATTTCTTCACACATGAGAATAACTGCATTATTTGAGATCCTTGATCATTATAAATCACTTACTGTCTCTTTTTAGACAAAGTTCTTTCATTTTACCCAAATCCTATACTGACAAACAACCAAGGTGCTAAATTTTAGGAATGTCTGAAGAAACTACATTAACCTTAAAACAAAAAAAAAAGTTTTTGGCCAAATTTCAGACATACGTAATTAAAAATCTGACTGGCCCCACCAGGTTAAAGATGAAGGGAGGCCCTAAGAACTCTAGAGAGCTTACACACACACCAGTGAGTGTCACTTTTACATCCTAGTTTTATTAAATATTGCTTCTTTGGGACATGTTTAACAACTCCCAAAACATTTCTGTGTAAGGATTCAAAGCGGCCATATTAAAATACAACTTCAATATAAAGCTCGTCACAGTTTTACAGTATTCAAAAATGACAGACCTGCCTTAAAAAAAAAAAAAAAAAACAAAAACAAAAATCAAAAAAGACCATTATACCCAAAACATAAGAAAACAATTAAATAAACAAGTTTGGCATTTTCATTACTTTATAGTATAAAACAGAATATTAAATCTATTACTGGCAAGCGGACACTGATTTGTTACCTAGTTTGAAATGTGTCGCATTTAAACATACTATACAAGTTCACTATACAAAAGGTTGATGGTCTTTTTGATGAAAGAAGTGCACCCTGAAAAGTTTTGCCAGTTTAGAATATTTAGCTCTTAAGGTTTTTATTTATTTATTTATTTATTTTTGAAAAAGTCCTTTTCCTTTTAAAAATTGAAGGCTGAATTCAGCCTTTTTTGTGTGTGTGTTTTCATTTGTCAGCCTTCCTGGTTTAAAAATAGTGTCTATGGACGCCCACCAGGGGGCAGTGTAAGATTAGCCATTAAATCACGAACAGCTGCAAATATTGTGCATTCACCTGCAACAGAGAAAAATGGTCATTAGCTATTCGCAGTACAGGAGAGACGTTAACACACGGTGAGGGGAGGGTTGATTAAAATCAGTTATGAATTTGAAATAAAGGACTATGTATTTCAAACTACTCAGATTTTTAGGCGATGAGATCTGGTGTGGATTAGCATATTATATTTGAGTGGAGTTTTGCTTTTTTCTCAGGAAGAAATCTGGGGCAAGTGTCAAGTTTAAACAGAGAGAAAGAGATGCCGTCAGTGCATAGAAAGTGTCACAGTGGCTAAGACTTTAAAATTGAACACTGTAGAATGCTTATACATTTTGGATTTAATGACAAGTTCTAAATTATATTTATGCATTGCTTATAACTTCGGTGATGTCCTCCTAATACTGCATGAGAGACCAGATGAGAATGCCTCCAATAGGTAATAGAAATACTGTCCAATAGAACATTTTGTGACAATGGGAACGTGTATTTTGTGGTTACCAAGCACTACTCTAGCTATGAAACTGAACACGTTCATTTTCTAAAGTAACAGATTAAGACTGAAGTCAATTAAATACAAAAATAAAGTGGGTTGTTTTGCTTTTTTTTTTAAAGGGAGAAAAGGTCTATTTATATTTAAAAGTTATTTTTTTCCCCTTTTCTTTCCTTTTTGGTTGCTATGAGACAATAATCTCACTATGTAACCCAGACCGGCTTGGAACTCAAAATCCTCCTGCTTCAGCCTCCAAGTGCTGAGATTATAGGTGTAAAGCACTGGACTAAGCTGGCATCTTTTTTCAAAGCTCTTCAATGTGAGATGGGCAAGGAAGCCTAAGTATTACATACCAAAAATCTAAATATTCGATTTGTAGAGTCACCACTGATACCTCATCCTCTCAACTTCCTCTCTGCTGCTTAGTTCTTATGAAATATTGCAAATACTTAAATATTATAAAAACAAACCAGATCTTTCCCACTAGAACATGTTTTTAACACTACCACAGCTGAAAAGGGGAAAACTGAAGAAGCCCTTGTATGAATGATGGCCTTCTGTCAAGGGGCAGGACACACTGACTCTATGCAAGTCACTGAGAGCCTTTGCTCCAAACACTGGAAAATGAAGGTACAGAACAAAAGGATAAAAGAAATCCAAAGGCTTGTCCAGCCAAAAAAGGAACAAAAGAAAAAAAAAAAAAGCACTCCCACAATACCTTACCAACTTCTTAAAGAACTGAGGTAGGTGCGTGTGTGCGGGCATGTGTGTGCATGGATGCGTGTGCGTGTGCACAGGCATATGCATGCACACTTCTTTGACACTTTCATTGATAGGCCAAAAAATCTGGTTGATCATAGTAGGATCAAAACATTTCCCTTATAATTTTTAAATTCCAGAAGATATAATACATAAAAATGATAATAGTCATGTCTATATGAAGGAATTGTGCTTATCAGAGTTCTACTAGATTGCTACTTTGAGGACTTATTTTCAGCTGACGAGATAGGTCAAAGAATGAAAGCAGAGAAGTGTCAGAAGTAAAAGAACTATAACAAATGAAGCATACTGCTCTCTATTGCCCAGTGTATTCCTTAGAAACTGAAGCAAAAACTTACCCAGGTATGATGTGGGGGAATAAACAGTTTAAAAAAAAAACTCATTTTCCTCAGTATCCCTAAAACTTTTCATACTGTGATACATAAAAATGTTTCAGAGAACAGCTTTTTCCTTGTTTACCATAATCGTGTTAGCAAGGGATAAAGAGGACTTCCTTAGCATTAGACATGAGTGGACATCCATTTAAATTTTCTAAGTATTAGAAATGAAAAAAAAAGTTCTTTTTGCTGAGCTTCATGTTTTAGAACCCCAAATTAGGTATTGCCAGGAGTCACATGTTAAGTGTGGGCTACTCCAGCATCGAAGCAACCTTATTTATCTTTCAAGAAACACTCTGCTTTTTTTTTTTTTTCAGAAATGTCCAGTCTCAGAGCTTCATTGTGCACTCAGGGAAAAGGCTCACTTGCACCCACCTGACACTTACATAAGAAGCCCAAAAAGCCGTGATGCCATTTGTATCAGCTTTTATTCTTCACAAAACATTTAGAAGATACACAACTTTTAATAATAGTATTTTGTTCATGATCGAACCATGAAGTATGAGAAACCAACATGCATTTCAACTTTGTGATGTACAGAGTGGCAGGTATTGATGGCAAGGCAGGAATTCACAGCCACAGAAAATCTATCATCCTAACCTAGGGCTTTGTGGCAATGTGTGCTATAAATACAAGCTTCTGGCATTAGCAACCAGCTCAGTCCCAATAGTAAATTGCTAACAAAAATGAAGTTCAGGCAGCAAAGAAATGGACAAAAATGAAGAGCCAGTGAGAAAGAAAGAAAGCGACAAGCAGACACTAAGAGGGCCATGGCAACAGAGCGCTAGTACTAGGATTGGGGTGCAGAGGAGGGAAGGAGGGAAAAGAGGAGGAAAGCAGAGGCAGGTCTCTCTCAAAGGAATCCTTATAACATATACGCAATAAAATACCATCTACTGCTCATGTACCTTGTCGTGGTGGGTTCATCTCTGCAAACCTCTTCAGAATGTTGCTGACCATCATGGGCGCAGCAACAGAAGAGTTCTGCTGTCTGGGAATGTCTGCCTGCTGGGTGGTACCTGAAGCCATGTCATAAATGATGGGAACTATTATACTAACAGGTTCTTGGGGAGGGACTGATGTTTTCTGAGTTAGCTGAAGCTGTAGACACACAAAGAAAATAAAAAACAGAAAATCAAATATTTGTCTTAATTGGTGCGAGGTACTATCATTTACTTTCAGATTAAGATACAGCAAATACAAAAAAATAAGATAAAAAAGTGACAAACAACTGAGTATTACGATTGTCTCACAATTACTAACGAATACATTTCTGTTGTTACTAAGGGAACAGTGAAGAAATATGGTCTTACAGCAGGCAATAACGGCTAACACAACAAATTGTTTTATTACTTTCTCATGGCTGTTTCCTCAGAAACTCTGCATATGCACAGATGATGTCAGGTGTTACTTACAAAAAACAGCATTTTGGATTTCAACACCACAGCTGGTGTCCCAGGAGGTGCAATTGGTGGTGCGCTGGGAGGGATGGTGAGGCAAAACTGAACATTCCATTTTAGCTGGGTTGCTTGGTCTGGGAACTGTTGTGAAAGGGGAGAAATTATGACAAAACTCCTGTTAACATTTAAAATCACATCTGGTCTGGAGTCTGAGGAGGTAGGACTTCCACATTCTATTCAATCATTCAGACAGCATGCACTTTCTTAAAAGAATATATATGAAGTCACTAACGAAAACTTGGGGGTAAATTTGTGTGCTCTGTTCTCATTCATTCCTGAACGCTTTATTACTATTCCCAAGGCTAATACTTCAGCTTCTAAACATCTAGCTCCTTTTGTTTCACTGTTTTCAAAGAAGCCAACAAAGCTCAGGGCTTCACTGCTTCTTCCTTGAACCCCTAGCAATCCCAGTGGCTTACAGATACTATCAGTTCCACATCCTGAGTGAGGCTCTAATCATGCTCACAAATGCTGAGTGACGCTATGACTTATGCTGCTCCCTCCCACAATTAAGTCTAACACATGACACTTAAGGCTCTCATTGCCTGGGGTCCATTAGATTTCCAAGTCCTGTTTCTAACTGCTTTCTTAGACAAACTAGGCAAATAGTGTCAATGGTTTAGAAGGATAATTCACTGGTGCTTTTGCAGACAGATATTACTCCTTCAAAATCTCAGACATCTTTCTGACATCCCATACAAGGTCTGTTACAGACTACCACATCAAAAGGCAAATGTTAATACAAAAATTAAAAAAACAAACAAACAAAAAAAAAACTTCCTCCCCAATCCTGATAGTAAAATGTGAACAGATATGAGGGAGGTATTAGGCTAATCAAATCACCACCAGAAATAAATATCAAGATCAAAGACTGGGAGATTTAGAGAATAATTAATCAACTATCACCGGGGTTCAAACTAAATAATTTTAAGTAATACCCACAGTATGGGGCTAGAAAGATGGCTCAGCAGGTAAGAGTGCATACTGGTCTTCCAGAGGAAGCAAGTTCAGTTTCTAGCACTTATGTGGGGTGGATCAAACTAACTTTTACTCTAAAGGGATCCAATGCCCTCTCTTTTGGCCTCTGCCCACGCCTACACCCACACACATATGGCATATATATATAGATACACATATATACCCATACAAAATCAAATGAAAATAAATCTTGGGGTAGAGAGATGGCTCAGAGGTTAAGAGAGCTTGTTGTTCTTGCAGAGGACCCAAGTTTAGTGCCCAGCACCCATGTCACAACTCACAACCAAATCCAGGGAATTGAATGACCTCTTTTGGCTTCAATGGGCACTGCTCTAACATGCACAAACCCAGACGCAGACCAACACACACACAATTGAGATTTCAAAAAATAAATAAATTAAAAAAATAAATAATGGTGCTAGGGTCAGTGATTAAGAGAATTGGCTCCACTTCAGAGGACCTGGCTTTGGCTCACAATCATCTATAACTCTAGTCCCAGGGAATCTGACATTCCTTTCAGGTATCCTAGGGCACTTATATGGCACACAGACACACATGCAAGCAAACATCCCATAAAAATAAGTAAATTTTCAAAATAAAAAAATAAAATAATAGAAAAAAATAGCTGAGACTACCAAAGGTAGAAATATAAAAAGAGAAGAAAAAAAATGATAACTGAGCTTGGTGTGCTTGTGGGACTAGAAACTGGTAAACCTCTACAGAGGAAAATTTACTATGATCTATCAAAGTGACATCTATATATCTATATTTCACAGCTATTAAATAAATATAAACTATTTTATAATAAAAATAGATACAAGTACATAACAATATAGGAGCAAGACATTTCCATTTCTCATAAGACCATCTCTGCAAGAAGAGTTAGTTACTGGGAACTCTGCTTGAACAGAGAATGGATGGAGAGTGGTTACTGGGTAATTCCTCAATCTATCACCTTGTCCTGAATTCAAAAGACACAGAAGAACTGTGTCATCTTGTCACATCAAATTTTAGGTCAAAATTAAGAATTTAATTCAATTTAAGCCTTTAAAAACCTTTTTAGCGGCTGGTGAATAACTATGAGTTTGAGGCCAGTCTATTTAAAAAAAAAAAAAAAAAACAAATTTTAAGAGAAAAAAAAATCAAAAATAAACAAAATAAGTGAGCAAGAATAAACACTTCTCTGCATCAGAAAAGCTTTTGTTTCTCAGTAACTCACCAGCTCCAACTTCATAATATGCACACAGTCGCGGAGGATGTGTGTTGGTGCTCCCAACAGCTTGGTGAAGGCTATAAGTGTGTTGGCTTTAAATGGTGGTCCTGCAACCTAGGAGGGGGAAAAAGAAATCACCTTACTCTTCATTCTACTTTGACTTTTCTGGTTCGCTGACTAAATTACAAGCATGCATTAAAAAACACATACTCGGGCTGGGGGATGGTGGCACACACCTTTAATGCCAGCACTCGGGAGGCAGAGGCAAGCATACCTATGTGAGTTCAAGGCTAGCTTGGTCTACAAGAGCTATTTCCAGGACAGGCTCCCAAAACTACAGAGAAACCCTGTCTTAAAACAAAACAAAACAAAACAAAACAAAACAAAACAAAAACACCAAAATATACTCAGGGATGGACAGATGAATCAGTGGTTAAGAGCACTGGTTGCTCTTCCGTAGGTTCTGAGTTCAATTCTTAGCAACCACACGGTGGCTCACAACCATCTATAATGGGATCTGATGCCCTCTTCTGGCATAAAGACATACATACTGATAGAGCACTCATATACATAAAACAAATAAATTAAAAAAAAAGAAAACACATACTCTTGTTTCGAAGAATTTCTCCAAAACTTGAAGCTCATCAGGTTTCCACTGTCCTGCATTTTCAGGTGTTACTTTTAGCTGAAGGGTCTGGTTGGTTTTGGGACTAAGAGCTACTCTGCATTTCAGGGCATCTGTCTTGAACATGATTACACCAGGTTCATTGGAATTGATCAGTTGCAACTGCAAAACAAGGATGAAGAAAATCAACAGGGAAAGACAAGCATATTGTTGACAGAACTGTCACAATAGAAAACCAAATAAGTTGGTCCAGGCTAGCCAGATGAGAGTCACAGAGTCCAACATTAGAGGGACCATAAGTAGCAGAACTCAGGCTGCAACACAGCTCATATCATTGCTAAGCTGAATGTTAATTTATTCAATGTATCTTAATATTGGGAAGGGATATAGTGACAAGAGAAGGCAAAGAGTGAAAGTTTAATCAAAGTAGATCATGGCCACATATGAAAAACATCAAAGCAGAAACTGCTTTTCTTGAGGATGTAGATTCACTTCCCAGCACCTACATGGTGCCTCACAACTCTAATGGTGCCTTACAACTCTAAGTATAGTTCTAGGGATATCTGATGCCTTCTTTGGGCCTCCATGTGCACTGTGTACATCTAGTACACAAACATGAAGGTTAAAAACACTCATAAAATACAATTAAAAATAAAAAATCAAATGAAACACACTATTTTATATAATCCAAACAAGGCAACAATTTCTTAAAATATTTTTTTTAGATTCTTTTTTAAGATCTGATTATAAAGCTGGGCGGTGGTGGCACACGCCTTTAATCCGAGCACTCAGGAGGTAGAGGCAGGCAGATCTCTGTGGGTTTGAGGACAGCCTGGTCTACCTAAGAGCTAGTTCCAGAACAGGCTCCAAAGCTACAGAGAAACCTGTCATGAGAAACAAAATAAATAAATACATACATACATAAATACATAAATAAAAGAAATGACTATAAGATTGTGAAATGGCTTTCAAGCAACTGTATAGTAGATATTATAAATAGTGATCTGTTTGGATACTTCATTAATACACATAGATTCTGGCAATAATGGTAACTATAAATTAAGAACACACCTAATACCAAAATAATATCCTAAGGCTTTACATGGAGCACTATGAATGCCCACAAGTGTTACCAGTCAGGTAGATACTATCTACATCAGAGCACAACCCAGGAAACCTAGCAGCCAGACTATAGAATTACTGCTCTCAGTATCGACCTATTTCTTAAGGTTATCACCATAGAATAACCATAAGGTTATCATCATGTCTTTACAAGACTTTTAAACAAATCTAATTGCTCATGTACTTTTTAAAACTGAACCCAAACATCTATGACCAACATGTTGATTTTGATGAAGACTCAGCTTCAAAGTCAGTCTGCCTACAAAGGTACTCCAGAGATCAAATAGTCATTTGTATGTGCAAGGCCAGACCCGGTGTACGTTGGTTCCTTGCAATATTATAACCTATTCCCAGGTCAGGGTTAGCCACATTATCTAGAAAACACAGAACAGTAAACTGGAAAACTCTCCAACCTAAGAATAGAAAATGATGGGGTTCATCTTTAATGCTAGGCAACGAAGTGAAGTATATATAATACTAACAAAATGGTTAAGAAGGTGACAGAGTGTCACTCACAATGACTTTATTGTCCCTTTGAAAAGGACCACTTAGAAAGTCACATAGCACTCGTACCGTTTCCTGTTGAATAATTCTTTGAAGGTGTCGTCTCATGATGACAGATCCAAGGAATCTCTCAAGTGGGGAACAAAGATAACTGCCTGCCAGGCCAGGCACAAGGCCCGGAGTTGGAGAGGGTAATAGTAAGATGTTCAAGGCACTATGAGTGAGGATGGTGGGTATGGATGCTGCCCAGGAGCGCTGAGGTAGTTTGCGAGGTGGAGGCATGTTGGTTGGCATTGTCTGGGAACCTTTTGGAAAGGAAAACAAATAATTTCATTTGCAAATGCACACTATCCCATTATTGTCTGTTTTGTCTTCATCACAGATGATGTAATCGGGACTCTACTTCTGGTCACCAAGTAATCTTATGTCAGTCATCAGATAACAATCAGCTGCCATGATTCTCCTGATTGTTTCCAAGCTCCTTACAACATGACCCTGCAGGAACTCTTTCAAGGAAGTGGGATCTGCTCAACCTGGAATTTGCCCACATTTGGCCAAACAGATCACCATGGAAGGGATGCTCAACTAGGTACAGGACCTCGTGTGCTTTCCTCTAACTTCTACCCACTGTGTAAAAAAGCCATGATCAAGTGTGAGACCACACAGAGCACAGAGAAGTCATGTCAACTGAAGCTATGTTAGGTCTCCTACTGCAGACACACAAGTAAGCTGAGTAGAGTCTCAAAGTACAGAATCATAAGCCAACAAAGCATTGTTTTTTTAAGTACTAAAGTTATGTAACAAAAGAATATATATTTGTAAAATTCTCTTAATTTCTATAGTTTTGTTGGTTAACAAGGTATCTTTTATGGTTCAATAGTGTAGACAAAAATTAACAGTCATGACAGAGTTGCTGGGACTCACCTCCTAAGACTTCTGGAGACAACCCTTTTTCTTACTACATTTTCCCTCACTTTGCTAATTAATACTGTGAACTGATTTACAATTTAAGGTTTGGAAATCCTCATTTGAGAAATACACTGTGACTTTATGCCAGGACAAAATGACAGAAATCTTCTATTGGTAATGCTTTAGAAGAACATAATGCTGGCAACACTTACTTGTGCCAGCTCGGGGGGAATGAGAAGCATCTGGAACAGGAGAATGTAGAGAGGGGTTGACTGGTGACATTCCAGGCAAACGGGTTGCTGGTGAGGGTCCAGACACTTGAGGAGACCCAGGCCAGTTTCCTGCTCGTCCACTTGGTGACACCATAGTGTATGGAGAACTAGGGTCAAGGGTTCCTAGGGAAAAAAGCAAACAGATGATTCTCAAAATATGTATTTTAATGTCCTCAAAGTATGTGACAACAGTCATAGTCTCAAACAGTGAGCCATTATATCTATCTTTCACTAAAGCTTGATGTCTCTAAACACATTACACCTAAGTCTCAATTTTGTGGTGTTTGTGTACTTTCTGTGTGTTTGTTTTTTAAGACACAGTTCTCTTTGAATAGCCCTGGCTAGACTGGAATTCACTATATAGACCAGGATGGTCTTGAATTCACAGGAATCCACCTGCCCCTGCCTCCCAAGAACCAAAATTAAAGCATGCAGCACTATACCAGCTAGAGTTTGTGTACTTTCAAACTGGATTAAAGACTTGAAAAATGAAAAGGATAAATTAGTTTCAAACAAGCCTCCGAAAACATAAAGAAAAATCAAGTTCCACTGAAAGGAAGACCAGCCCTGGCAAATTATGTTTCCATTCTACTGAGAAAAGGATGAGAGAGGGAAACTACACAATTTCTTTATTCAGTGAAGGCCACACTGATGAAGAAATAAAACCGAGAATCAAGCTTTGAAAGCAGTGGATTCCTTAGCAATTTGATGTTTTAAACTACACCAAAAACACCTTTAACATACTGTTTATATTCTTTTGTCACCAAATGATACACTGATAAAATAAATAATCTTGAGTTATAAAAAAAGGAAGTCTTACAAATAAGTAAGACAGCACAAGAAAGTAGGCAAGGTGTATATAAATTGGTGGGAATAAAATAAGAGACGCTACAGACAAATGGGTATTCGAAAAGTAAGCTTGAGTTAAGTGAAATTTAAATAACAGACAAGAAATGTATATCCAATAATAAAACACCATTTTTCACCTAGCATATGGCAAAATTTTTAGAAAATCTTAATATACCATGTTGGTAATATCGCAGGACAACAGACATTGCCCCAACAATACTACAGGAAATTCAGGTGAGCAATTAGCCCTATGTTGCAAAAGCTTTAGAATTTCTCAAATGTGTTACAATCTGAATGACATGTTTAGGAACTTACCTAAGGCGATCATCATGGATGTGAGTATATATGGTACCATTTTAAATTATGGAAAAAAAATAGGAACATTCAAAATAGATAAAATATAGGACAATAGTTAGCTATGGTATATATGCCTCTGAGAAAAGAGATAAGATGGCTGGTGAAATGAAAACATTTGAGTCAGGTGTCCTGTCCTATGCTTTTAATCACAGACAAGGAATACTACGAAGCCATGTAGTATGATGATGGAGAATTCTTACTGACAAATGTTTATACATAACAGTATTTATTAGTAATAATTAAAGTCCTAGCTAAAAACAGCTGAAAGACTAAGGAAGTTCTTTAGGTTCTGATGTCCATGGTGTTCACGATGTTTAAGTGAACTGTGTATGTATATAATCCACTGCCATGTGGGATGGGGAGGAGATGTGTGTTGGTGTGTATATAAAACAGGTCTGCAGAATATATCCCAAATCAGGGGCTGGAGAAATGGCTCAGTGGTTAGGATCACTTGTTCTTGAAAGGAATCCAGGATTTGGTTCCTAGCATACACATGGTGGCACATAACCACCTGTAATTCCAATTCCAGCAGATCTGATGTTCTTTTCTGACCTCCAGGAGTACCAGGTATGTGCCTGGTACACATACATACATGAGGATGAAATACTCATACACATAAAATAAAAACAAATAATTCTTAAGAAATATACCTGAAATCAGTGACACAAAATGCCTCTGAGAAAAGAGATAAGATGGCTGGTGAAATGACAACATTTGAGTCAGGTGTCCTGTCCTATGCTTTTAATCATAGCACTTGGGAGACAGATGGGGTGGGGGCTAGCAGTGGGATGTGGGTGTTACTGTGATTTAAAGGTCAGCCCGAGCTATACAGTGAGATCTTGTATAACAAACAAAATGACAACAAACAGAAAGGGGACATTTCACTGACTATCTCCACCTGATCTTTACTTGCATCCATTCAAAATAAATTTATTTCAAGTTGAAAATTCAAGTTTCAAAACAATTCATATGGTAAGGTAACCAGATAGGGGGAACTATCTGAGAGGAAGACAAGCCAAAATAGGTAGAGAGCAAGCACAGAAAGATATTGAAAGTCCAATCAGCGGACAGCAGGTGACAGGAAGGGCAGAGCAAGGAAAGAGAGAAGACAGTCACAGACCAACCAGTCAGTGCCTCTGTGTGGAAAAACTAAGAAAAATGTCTATTTTTGTCCATGTCATTTTTGCTATTTCTCAATAAATAAATACTAATTTTTCAATAAGAAATTTGATTTAACAAAAATTACTTTTATATCAAGCTCTAAATGCTACAGCGATTTCTGTGTATGGACTCACCATGTGGACTAGCAAAACTGGCCCCTGGTCCTATTGAGATTCCATGCGAGGATGGGGGAGGAGTTGGAACAAATGACGCTGGTGATGGGGCTCGCAAAGCCCCACTGGGGGAGCTGGCAGCATGCAGATTTCCTAATAAAGGAAAATAATTACAGATGATCTCACAGGACACATATTATGTCCTGTCCAAGGACCACAGGTTAAAAAAAATCTCCCTAGAGACTATAGAGACAAGCAGAAAAGGTCCCATAAATAGCATGAAGGAAAATTGGAAAGACTTCACTATTGCAAGAAAGTTCAAGTCCACGGGTCCATGTTATAACTCTCATACTCACCAACTGAAAAGAAATTGTGTCAAAACACTTTTTAGTCATATACTTAGTCAACAAGTAGGTGAGTTTATCAGCTTTTTGCCAAGCACTATTCTAGGCATGGAAGACATAGTTAACATGAGAAACAATTTCTGCCCTCATGGAGTATGTATTCTAGTAAAATTAGCATGAAAAATCTATAAGGTAACAGCAAGTGCTGTGGAGAAAACCAGTGCAAAGAAAAGGAACAATTCTTTGTTATGGCAGAGGTCAAGACTCTAAAGGGGCACGAGAACCAGACAAAAAGAAAATGCAAGACATAGCACAGGGAATAAAATAACCCAGGCAAAACAGATGACCACTCTAAAGGCCCCAAAGAAAGGATAGTTTGTGTAGTAGGGCAGGGACCAGGGTGCTAGAAAAGAGTAAAGAAGGGTGGCATAAGAGGAGATGACAGGCCAGACAGTGGTGGCGCACGCCTGTAATCCCAGTATTTGGGAGGCAGAGGCAGATGGATCTTTGTGAGTTCAAGGCCAGCCTGGTCTACAAGAGGACAGACTCCAAACAGTCAGAGCTGTTACACAGAGAAACCCTGTCTGGGGTAAAGACAGACAGACAGACAGACAAACAGACAGAGCGAGCGAGCAGTTTAGAGGTAAGTTCTGTTCCAGATCACATATGGACTTGTAGGCCACTCTAAAGATATTTGGTTTGCCTCAGATGTTGGGTAACGAATAGCATCTGGAGTAGAAGCCATTAACTAACTTCTGTTCCAGGAGGTTCACTCTGACTGCAACTAGCTGCAAAGGTGACTGAAGGATGGCTGGAGGTGCTGCAAAGTGCTTGAATTTGGGGTTGAACACAAAGGGTAGTCAACAGTATTTGGTAAATAACTCAATGTGGGTATAAAAGCAAGGAGTGTTCTACATGTCCCGGATAGCTACAGCCTGGCTAACATGATGACAGAAGGGGTTGTCCCTTCCTGAACTAGGGTGCCTATGCAAGGATCAGGACTCAGGTCTAGGAAACTATGAACTTGGTTTCAGCCATAAAGAGTTGTGGCAATCCACTAAATATTAGGTGCAAGTGAATAGTTCCAGGATGAGGTCTAAAACATATACAAAAGCTGGGAGACAAGCACTTAAAGCCATGGGACTGATGTTAACTTTGAGGGTTCTGAAAGGGAGAATTATAACTATTAAAACTATGAAAAACTCAACATATAAATACTTGCTATTTTATTACTCAATATTAGCAGGTTTCAAACTCTTTATGATAATATAGGATGAATTCATTTTATGTTGTATAATACTATCTCATACTCAATAAATATGTCAGTCAACTTGATTAACCTTTATGTGTTATATTTACCTATTTAGCTGTATAATCTGACAAGTGACTTAACTTCTCCATGCCTTGGTTAATGGAACCTATGCCATAAATTTGCTGTGAGGATTAAATGAGTAAAGTGCTTAAAATAGGGCTTGGCATATTCACAGCAAGCACTGTATACCTGTCTACTACTATAATCAATCCAAAAATTCCCCTTCCTCCTATGCAACAATTTCCCCCTTCCTAGAGACACACTCCCCTAGGGTTCTGGGTCTCTAATTGCCTACCTCCTCCCCAGCTGTGCCTCTCTGATATTCACAGGGCCTAAGCTCTCCTACCCACTAAGGTTCTAATGACCCTGGGCAAATCTTCAAGCTATGGTCCAAGAAACTTTGATAAGCTGCAGGCCTCCATAGAGCCAACTGGCTACCACACACTTAGATTTGGAAATCTTCAGGACTTTCACAATCATAAAGTTAAGAAAACTTCCCTCTGTAGCACTGAAACTAGTTCTTCTCTGTTAAGAAAACCGAGCCCTTTTGTGGCCCTAGTATAGTCCAAATATGGATGGCTGATACAATAAAGACGAAGCTTTTAGAAAAGGCCCTGCTTCTTCATATTCTGGCCATTCAGGACAATGTCCTCTGGGACCTCAGGTTCCCACACACATGGTGTGGTCTTCCTGGAATACCCACATTGTCTGTGTCCTTGCATCTGGCCTGCTCTAACCCACCCTTCAGGTCTCATCTTGACCCATATCAAGGTGAAGAAGGCAGGCAAAGAAGCATCTCCAGAGCAGAAATGGCTGGTCCTCTAACAGTCTTTCAAAAGCCTGGATGAAAGCTTTATAAGGCTCAAAACCTGAGGCATTACAGGTGGCGACTGTTAGGAAGTCTAAACAGGAACCATACAGCCTCCAAAAACCAGGAAATTGAATTTCCTAAACAATACAAAACAAAACCAAAAAAAAAAAAAAAAACACTCAAAGATTTGGCTGCCTGGCTTCCCTTAGGACCCCCCCCCTTTTAAAAAAAAAAAACACGTGTTATTGTAATAAATTGAAGAATAATCTGAGTGGCTGTGAGAGGCATGCAGCAGAGGAAGAAGCTACCAAGATGAGACTGGCTGAGCAAGGGCATTTGGAGTATCAAGTAGTCTAATCTGGGACCAAGGCAAATTACAACGGGTTGATCAGAGAAGTACATGTGCAGCCAGGTTACCGACTAAATACTTCGTGGGATTTATTTCACTAAATTCTTACTATATCTCTAATGAAAGTATCTTTATTATTCTCAGATACAAATGGAAATGAGCAAATTAAACAAGTCAGACCAGTTCATCTCTCATTAACAGGTTCTGCAGGATCATGTGCATTTCTTATATGTATGCACACTTATACATACGTATCTGTATTAAGGGATTTGGGAAGAGCAATTTATAAAGGAAAAAACCAAAATGCTAGCAATTCTGCTTTACAAGGTGAAAATTGTAAACGTGTTTGTTGAATTTATTACTAAAACTCAGTGCTTAGGGATCTTGCTTATTATTAGTAAAGCATTTGTCTAGCATGTATGAGGCCTTGGATTTCATTCTTATATCATAAACACAAACACACAAAATCTAGTATGTTGAGCATCCTCAAATGATAAAAACATCCTTTAGTTGACTAATTTATTAAATCAAAGGCTTTTACCATACAATTTTTAAATTTATTTCTTTTTCTTCTTCTTATACTACTAAGAACTGAACCTAGGGCCTCATGTATGCTATACAAGCACTCAAACACTAAACTATGCCCCATCCCATTCTGTATTTTTCTGCTTATGAGGTCCTGAACTTTGTGATCCTGTTGTTCCAGCCTGCCAAGTAGCTAAGATTACAAGTTTACACCACCAGGCCTGGCAAATTATTTATTTTCTTATATGTTACATGCAATATCACACAATAAATCTTTTGATAAAAGTTTTTGCTTTAATTTTTCATTACATTAATTTAACTATGTGAGCTGGAAGGTAAGAGTTTTTTTTCCCCTTAAGAAAGCTGTTACCACTGAGCGGTGGTGATGCACACCTTTAATCCCAGCACTCAGAAGGCAGAGGCAGGTGGATCTCTGTGAGTTCGAGGCCAGCGTAGTCCACAGAGTAAGTTCTAGGACAGGCTCCAAAGCTATAGGGAAACACTGTATTAAAAAAAAATTCAGAGAAGCATTCAGTCAAAAGTAAAAATTTGGCATGCCGCCCACATTTTACAGTGCATAGGATGGCCCAGCAAAGCCATTTTTTGTCAGGACAAATAAAGAGTGAAGGGCCTGACTCCAGGAACTGGAGAACAGATCACATCCAGCAAAGCTTAAGCAATAGCAGAAGGATAGAAATCACATAGCAGTCAGACATGGTGGTTACCCCTGTAACCCCAGCACTAGGGAGGATAAGGCAGAAGGATCATGGCCTCAAGACTATCTTGGGCTACAAACTGAGTTTAAAACCAACCTGGGCAACATTAATCCATTTCAAAAAACAAAACAAAACAAAACAAAAAAAAGTGAAAAGGGGCTCCAATTTGTTAATTTACTGAAGCAGATAGCCAGTGGGTAAGATCTGGCCCCAAGCCTACAACTGTCAACCTCTAATGCAGATTAGTAGCAACCCTGGGAATTACGGTATCATGAGTCTCACTCTGGACGCTTGAAATACAGGTTATAAAGTGCTCCTAAAATACCATAAATGTGAATTTCCCAACACTACTTCAATGAAAGCAGGCAATTATCTAGTCAGAGAACAGAAAAAGAATCTGTTGGAAGCCTGAGGCCACCTGTATAGGGCTTCCTCTTGGGTATGTGTGTTTTGGATTCACAAGATGAACAGGACAAAAGAATAGGTTATATCTTACCTGGAGACTGTGTGTGAATCATAGAGGGGGACTGATTAACTGTGTTGTGATAGGACGCAGGAGGTGAAGTAAGAGGGTAAGCACCTGAAGTTCCTGGCTGCTTTGGAAATGGCTGGAAAAAAAAAAGAAAAGTTAATGTTGGCATAATGGTCAAGCACAGAGAGTGTAAGTGTGGCTGTCAGTAAACGGACATTAGGGTCTGCTACTTTAATTGGCAAATAGAAACCATTTACATATGGAACTGTTCAAATTCCACATCAATCATGCAAAATACAAGGTCAGGAAGAATGCTGACTTGCAAGGGTTTGAAAAACAATACAACCCTCATTTTTTCACCTGCTTCATCATCACTGCTTCTACCTTTCACCGTATACTGTACTCATTTTATATGGCACAGCTTTATTTGAATCCTTTTACGTTAACATCTGTGAAATCACAGTGAATCTTTTAATTTCTAACCTCTACCTTCTTTAGCAGCAGATAAAAAGTGGTGCATGTAGTTGGTGAGATAGCTTCTATGGCAGCACACCTCTTCCTGGTCCAATCTTCAGCAACATAACAGACACCCACGCAAGTGTGCAGCATACACACAAGAGTGAAAACATTTCCTAGTTATTGGCTGGGCAGTGGTGGTGCACACCTTTAATCCCAGCTTTCAGGAGGCAAAGGCAGGGTTTGAGGTCAGCCTGGTATATAGAGAAAGTTCCCAGGACTGACTTCATAGCTACTGGAAAACCATGTCTCAAAAAAAATGAACAAATTAATTGAGGTGTTCAGCTCATATAGTAAAATATAAAAAAATTAATTACTTAAATAAAAAGCTTCATATTGATTCACTTTCTGACTCTTCTTGTACAATTCCACAAATGTATCGCTGCTCAATAAAGAAAGCATGCACTAACCTGTCACGTTCACTGCACACATGGAATTGCCACAGGCCCAACTTTGATTTAGATAATATACCTCATAAGAATTTTAATCTTACAGCACCAATGAACCTCTTGCAGAGAACCACATGCAGAATTTGGTACTTTCAAAGCATTCTTGGTATATAAAGGCAATACATTCTATTGCCAGAGGATCAAGACAGCCTAGTTTTGTTAAAGACTATTAGAGGGAAGCTCACAACAGTTTGTCAAATGTTGGACCATTATGAGTGAGCGCATCTAAGCACCATCCCCAGAAAAAAAAAATAAAAAAATCTAAATGCATAATTTGATGAATGTTTAAAAGTTTAACTAGCTAGATATGGTGGTACATACCTTTAATGCCAGCACTGAGGAGGGAAAGGCAGGTGGCTTTCTATAAGTTTAAAGACAAACTGGTTTACATATGAACTCCAGGCCAGACAGAGCTAGTTAGAAAAACCTTTTCTTAAAAAAATAAAGTAAATAAATAAATTGCAGAGTAACTACCAGCATATCAGTCTTTCCAAGTCTTTAGTGCCTCCTCATAGATCTGCAACTGTTCTGATTTCCATCATTCCAAACCAGTCTTCTTAAGATGCCAAGACTGATAGCCTGAGTTCACTCTCCAGGACCCATGTGGTAAAAGAAAAACTGACTCCAGCAAGTTGTCCTCTGCCCTTCACATGTGCTATGACACTTAGAAGCACACAAAATAAATAAGCGGTGAAAAAATTTTAAGGCGGGGTGGCACACACCTTTAATCCCGGGACGTGGAAGGTACAGGCAGGGCAGGCATGAGTTTGAGGCCAGCCTGTTCTATATCCTTGGAGAATCAGTCAATGAATGATTTATTTAGGATGAACATAATAACAATGGATCACATCTCCAGGAACTGTCAGTATGACATTAATCCTGCTATCTCTGTGGCCATCCAGCCCAACTCAATCATTTGTTTCCAAGAATATGTGGTTCACTCTTTACCCAATGTCAAGTCCAAAAAAAAGATCTACAATGTAACAAAAAAGGCCTCACAATAAACGTTACTACTACTACTACTACCACTAAGCACTCCTGTGGCATCTGTAGTACAAGGTCCTCCTCTGCAATGGTGGCACAACAACTTCATCTGAGTCAACATCTGGCACAGCCCCACTCTGGCTATAGAATTATTCATATGCAGTTTTACTGGGCTGCCCTGTATGTTCAAAAAGAACAGGAAGAGAAAAAAAAAACAGAAGGAAAGAACCTAAAAAGCTGCCCAGAATAATACACAAACTCTCCTGCTGTAGAAGTCTTGTACTCTTTGAAAGATACAAGCACCAGCAAGTTGCACTTACTAGGCATAAGTAGCCAGGCCAGAAGCAAGGCAACCTAAGGGCATTCATTGATGTTCTGAAAAGATCTGGGTGAGAAGCCATGAGGTACTGTATAAAAATTATGGCTCAAAGATGTGTCTCAGAACACAGTCAACAGCTCATTTCAAGAGAGTCAGACTGAAAACAAAGGCTGGCTTGAGGGCTGCTCAACTCGCAGACACAGGAAGGAGTCAGAAAAGAGCTGAAAGTTTTGGAGATGTGATCGTATGGTCTGGTGTAGCTGTCTGTGGAAGAACCGTTGAAATGATACTCTGGCTCTGCAGAGCCCTTAGTGAACATCAGCAGACTTAAAACAGCTGTCTTTCAGGACACAGTGAGGTTGCTCCACAGCAGGCTACTTCATATCCAGCAAATAACTATTTTTTTTCATTTAGACTCCTTTGCTTTAAGTACATGTGTGATCCGAGGACCTGAGGCCAATGTCTTTTCCATTACTGCTCATTTCCTATCCTTGCAGGTCTTATTGTCTCCTACTTTTGTTTTCCCTAAGGATTTCCTGGGCTTACTTGGGCCTTCCAAAGTCATCTTGCTTCTCAACAAAGAAATGCTAAAGAAGCTGTGGAGTTCCACAGATGGGACAGTGGAATTTCAGGGAGACATTACCTGTTGCTGAGGTGGCTGGAGCTGTGATATTAAAGAGTCCATCATATCACCTCCTATAGGAGAAGGGGGGTTATCATCCTCGTTTATAGATCTTCTCCGAGCATCCTGATTGCTGTCAACAAACATGTTCAGGAATGTCTAAGGATATAAATGAGCAAAAATTAATAAAAACATTTTTAAAGTATTTTCTTACATGTGTTTGTGTATGTGTGTGTGCACATGTGCATGTGTGTGCCATAGCATTTCTGTGGTGGGTAAAAAAACACCTTGCCAGAGTCAATTCTTTCCTTCCACTATGGGGGTTTCACAGATAGGACTCAGGTTGTCAGGCTTTATGGCAAATGCCTTACATGTTGAGCTATCTTGCCAACTTAAGTAAAGCATGTTTGATCATGGAGAATATTGTAACAGTAACATATTATATCCCTGAAAACAATATAAGGACAAGCTAAAAGATTTATGACAAATTTTGGACAAAGATATGAAATTAAGGAAAACTGCTAACAATAAAAACACCTAAGTAATAGTCAGGAGAATGCCTTTAATCCCAGTACAGAGGCAGGAAGATGTCTGAGAGTTTGAGGTTAGCTTGGTCTACAGAGTGAGTACCAGGACAGCCGGGGCGAAACACAGAAACCCTGTCTCAAAACAAACAAACAAACAAAACCTAAGAAAAATAAGTATATTGTGACATCTGGCATACTAAGACCCAGAAATACAACCATATAAGTAACCATAAAATTTCCTATTACTAAAAGGTTTCTTTTTCTTCTTTTTTTGCTGGTGGTTGTGGCGTGAGACAGGATCTCCCTATGTAGTCCTGGCTAACACAGAACTCATTATGTATGTAAGACCAGACTGGTAATTGAACACAGAGATCTACCTTAATGTGTTGGAACTAAAAGCATGTGGCAACCATGCCTGGCACAGGGTATCACCTTTTTTGTTTGTTTTGGTTTTGAGATAGGGCTTCTCTGAGTAACAGCCCTGGCAGTCCTGGAACTCGTTTTATAGACCAGGCTGGGCTCCAACTCACAGACATTCACCTGGGATTAAAGAGTGCTGGGATTAAAGGTGTGCACTACCACCTCCACCTGGTTATTATTTAGCAGTTTTTGTTGCTAACAGTTTTTTTTCTTTTTTTTTATTGAAGAAAATTCCTGCTTCCTCCCAGCCTCCCATTTCCCTCCCCCTCCTCCCGCCCCTCTCCCCCTCCCCTTACTCCTCTCCCACTCCCTCTCCAGTCTGAAGAGCAATCAGGGTTCCCTGCCCTGTGGACAGTCCAGGGTCTTCTCCCCTAATCCAGGTCTATGAAGGTGAACATCCAAACTGGCTAGGCTCCCACAAAGCCAGAACATGAAGTAGGAACAAAACCCCATGCCATTGTCCTTGGCTTCTCATCAGCCCTCATTGTCCACCATATTCAGAGAGTCCGGTTTTATCCCATGCTTTTTCAGTCACAGTCCAGCTGGCCTTGGTGAGTTCCCAATAGATCAGCCCCACTGTCTCGGTGTTAACCGTTTCTTAATCTCGAAAATGTGACTGAAAAACTGGGTAAGAGTTAAGTGTATTACTGTCACATGGTGTCACATGCCTGAAATCACAGCACATAACAGTCAGGAATAGGAGGAGTGCTGGGTTAGAGCCTAGCCAGGAACATCCGACAAGATTTAAAAAAAAAAACTAAGTGAAAGAAGTAGGCCAGGGGGCTGGAGAGATGGCTCAGAGGTTAAGAGCATTGCCTGCTCTTCCAAAGGTCCTGAGTTCAATTCCCGGCAACCACATGGTGGCTCACAACCATCTGTAATGAGGTCTGGTGCCCTCTTCTGGGGTGCATACACACAGACAGAATATTGTATACATAATAAATAAATAAATATTTAAAAAAAAAGAAGTAGGCCAGGGAGATGGTGTACTTGATAAAGTGATTGCTACAGAAACATGAGGATTTCAGTTTTTTGTTTTGTTTTTGTTTATTTCTTTGTATTTTTCGAGACAGGGTTTCTCTGTGTAGCTTTGGTTGTCCTGGAATTCGCTCTGTAGATCAGGCTGACCTCAAACTCGCAGAGATCCGCCTGCCTCTGCCTCCTGAGTGCTGAGATTAAAGGGTGCACCACCACTGCCTGGCAAAGAATTCAGTTTTGATGCCCAGAACCCATGTTAAAAAGCCAGATATGGCACTGAGCAAGTTTAATCTCAGCATTGGGTAGATACAGACAGGAGGCTCCCTGAAGCCTGCTGACTAACTAGTCTTGGTGAATCAAGTGAGCTCCAAAATCAGTGAAAGGCTCCATCTCACAAACAAACAAACAAACCCTGTATTGAATAAACAAAATAAAAAAACAAATAACAACAAAAAGGAAGATAAAGAATTAAAATAGCTGACATCAACCTATGACCTATGTATATACATGCATTTCTAAAAAACAAACATGTACATTCCCTCCAGCCAGTTAATGTTGGCATTTTAAATTGCATAATTTTAATCTTAAACCATCCTAAGTGAGACAGTCTTTCTAAATAAGATGATGTAATCAAAAACTTAAGCAAGGATAATAGACCAGCATTTGAAACTATTAGAATCCTAAATATGAACACAGGCATCTGACTCTCGTAAGGCTCTCCAGCAATAAAGTGTTCCATTAAAGTCCCAAAAATATGGGGCCACTACATCCATTAGATCTAACTCTAATGAATGAACTGACATTGTGCATTGTGGAGTCCATTCTCTATGAAGAGATACTTTGCTCAACCTAGGGTTGGGGGAGTGTGGGGTTGGGTCCTGCTTTAATGAGGCAACAGAGCAGACTTAGCTGACTTCCCAGGCGAGGCTTTAACTTCTGAGGAGAGGATCGGGGTGGAGGAAAAGTAAAGGAACAAGAGGAAGGGGGGGGGGGGGGACTGGGATTGGCATGTAAAGATAGATAGATAGATAGATAGATAGATAGATAGATAGATAGATAGATAGATAGATAGATAGATAGATAGATAGATCCAAAGAGCAAATGCTTATTCATAAGAGTGTGGAAACAAGAGGTCTCCTAACAGTTCATGTACATAGAACAGTACTTGATACAAATTCTAGATCATCAAAAGAAAGTCAGAGAAGATACACTTTACTACTCATTAAATTCTAATGGGACAGCATTTCTCTCTCAGAGCAACTGTTTTCAAGATTATGTTTATTTAGTCTATCATTCTGTAACACTGAAGTTTATTACCTTCAATCCTGGTGCAGGATAGAAACCTTCAACTAACTTGCTGTTATCAAAAAGACTATAAGCACCATCCCGTATTGCCACAACACCACGACTACGGCAGTATATATCAATGCAGTACATGTTCCTGAAGGCCAGTCTGATGTGGGTGGATGACTGCGGTAGAATGGAGAAACACTGGTAGGCAGTGTTAGTTCTCTGAGTCAAGCCCAACATTGGCACAGTAGGGAGTTTGTTGATGGCATTTAATGGTGCCTGAGTATCAAACAACACCTAGAAGAAACAAACACAAAGAAGTCATCCAGTTGCCATGCAACTACGAAAAACTTAGAATATTCTACGTATCACTGTCACAAATGAGCATTCTAGAAACATCCTATAAAAGTTTTCACTTGAAGTTTAATCAAATTCTCAAGGCGATATTAAAAAATCATAAAGACAAAAGCATCCATGTTAGTTATTAAAGACAAATGCAGATGATCTTTTGAGACATTTAGCATGACGCACTATCATTCCTAAGTCTTATTTTTAGACAGTATAGGGAACGTAATTACCTGTAACAACTGAACCACATTTGGTGTTTTGTTGAACATTTCTTGAAGTTGATGGAGAATGGTATTGTGACAGTTACTGCAACCTGAGTTTGGGCCAACTGTTCCCAAAGAAATGTGAAATTTCTGATGAATAGAATTCCACTGGATACTAATCTAAATCAGAGAGAGCACATTTAAGAAAACTGAAAAGTTGATTTGAGATTTGAGATGAAGAACAAAATGTTAAAAGTTGCCAAATATCTAAATGAGATCTTTTCTAAAAATGAGTAACATGGTAAAATTTAGACCCAAATTCCAAGAAAAAATCATTAAACTTTAGTAATTATCACACACATTCCTCAGGTGTTTCTTTTTCTCTTCAACTGCTGACTCCTCAGTGCTACCAAAGGAGCACTGTCATAAAAGAGAAGGAAGCTACCTCAAACAGAGTTTCATTCAATTACTATGTCTTAAAACACAAGTAATTTCTGATATTACTAGAAAAAGAAGTGTTTGTTTATCTATTTGTTTATTTAGTGTGTATTGAGTGTTCTCCTACAAGTCTCTACATGTACCCCATGTGTGCCTGGTGTCCAAGGAGGCCAAAAGAGGGGACTGGGTTCCCTGGACTTGGATTTACAGATGGTTGTGAGCTGCTATGTGGGTGTTGGGAACCAAGCAGATCGGCTCTGAGAACAGCATAGGTTCTCAATTACTGAGTCCTCTCTTTAGCCCTCAGTTGATTTCATTTTTAAGGACAAGAAGAAAGTAGAGATTACAGGGAGTACATTTAGGGTTAAGAGGGGCTGGAAAGATGGCTCAGAGGACCCAGGTTCAATGCCCAGAACCCACATGGATGTTCACAATTGTAATTCCAGTTCCAGAAGATCTGACACCTTCATAGAGACACACATGCAGGCAAAACTCCAAAGCACATTAAATACATAAATCTTTTTTAAAAAAAAAGAAGATAGGAGCAAACAATGACTATATTCAGAAGTCAAACCAAAGCTATACACACACACAACACACACAGCCACCAATAAATACTCTTCCTAACAATTTGAAATAAGTGAAGGAAAAATATCACCAAAAGTGCTTGTTTTACAATCAAGAACATATATACACTAAAGATATAATTTTTTCTCAATTTCAAAGGATTAAGCATATCACACTTTTATTTCAGCAAAGCATTTAAAATTTACCATTTTATCTATGGTTTGACTTGAGCCCTATTTAAGGCAATTTCCTTTCCTTTTCTTCCTTCTTGAGACAGTGTCAATAAGTAGCCTAGGAAAGTTTTGAAACCAAGATCCTGACCCAGCCTCTAGAGTGCCAGCTTAAAGGTATATACCATATACCACCATGCCTGGTAGCTTTCATTTGTTTTAGATTCTTTTTTTGTTGTTTGTTTGTTTGTTTTCAAGACAGGGTTTCTCTGTAGTTTTCTGAGCCAGTCCCAGAACTAGCTCTTGTAGACCAGGCTGGGCTCCAACTCACAGAGATCCACCTGCCTCTGCCTCCCAAGTTGTCTTCTGTTCTTAATTTTTTAAAGATACATAAAGATGTTTTAATCCATTGACTTACTGAGCTTCCTTTGGTGGTTCCATAACACAAGGTAAGTTTTCGATAATTATAAACACGAACTTCGGAGAAAATATTCAGATGAGCAGGTATGTCTATGCAGAAACAAACCAAAAAAGTTATTAGTACACATAAGGTTTTAAAAAGTAGATTGGAAAAAGAGGGCATTTGGCATATTATATATGCCTAGTTTTCTTATGATAAGATCTCCTTTAAGCCCATACTTTGTCTCAACTTCCCTATTTAGCTGAGGGTGACAATGTGCTCCTGATCCTGTTAAGTGTTGTGGTCACAGGCAAACATCACCATGTACAGAGTAAATGAGTAGAATATTGTGGGAACTCACAAGTCTGTTTATGTGCCCAAATTTCTAGAAATAGTAGAAACTTAACAGTTATATTCTCTGGAGAAAAGAAATTATAGGCTGAGGTAAAGGAGACAATTTTTCTTAGATATATTTTGTTTGTTTGTTTGTTTGTTTGTTTGTTTGTTTGTTTCAAGATAGGGTTTTTCTCTGTAGTTTTGGAGCCTGTCCTGGAAACTAGCTCTTGTAAACCAGGCTGGCCTAAAACTCACAGAGATCCGCCTGCCTCTGCTTAGATATACTTTTTGACTATTCACTTTTTAAAGCAATGTACAGGTTTTATTTCTGTTACAGAAAAAGGTACTTTTAATTTAAAAGGAAAATTACACATACCTGGTAGAGAACGTGCAAACTCCAACACACACTCATATAATCGGGCAATGCTACTCCAGTCATTAAGAAACATTTCAACTACTTTTCTACCACCAACAGGTTCGGACAACAGATTTTCATACGTTAGGTAAACATGCCGAGATGGTCCTATAGGATTCAAAAGAGAAGATTAATAGTAATCAACACCTTAAAAATCTAGAAATATGCATAAACAGTATATGAAAAATCTTACCTTGCTCCCTGGTAGAAGTGCCATTAAGCGGACAGTTTGCAAACACTAATTCTGCCACCCATGTGCGGTTATTTCTACCTTGTAATCGGAAAGTGCAATCAAGAAGAGAGCGGTCCAGGGCCTTTTGGGTTTCCTCATTTACTCCCTTACAGGGAGGAATTCTAGTGATGAAAAACAGCACATGAAATGTACGTTACACACAAAGACAAAGAACAATATATGAATGACAGATAAGATATGACATCATAACTTCAGGTTCAACCATGATTCTAGATCCCTTCCTTCTACAAAGAAAGGAAGTAATTCCTAGTAATTGATAATATTTAAGCTGTATCACTTCACATCAACCTATATGAGAACTCTTATTTTAAGTTTTTTTTCCCCCTTCTACATGGCAGGATCTTCCTGTGTAGCCCTGAATATCCTGGAATTCACTCTGTAGATCGGGCTGGCCTTAAACTCAGATCCGCCTGTTTCTGACACCCAAGTACTGGAATTAAAGGTGTGCAACATCACTGTATGGCTCCTTTTAAATTTTAAAGTGAGGTTTGTCTTTGTTCACAATCTTGTTGCTTACAAGGGGTTCTAATTCTAGAGAATGAATATCTATCTAGAACATCCTCAAGAAAAGCTAAGGGGACAAAAACACTTGTAAATTCATTTTGAAAACAGGATGACATAGTAAAATAATAAGGACTCTAGAGTGAGGGATATGCACTAATTTTAATAGTCATATTTAATTGAATCTCAATTACCCAACTATAAAATCAATAGAAGAGTTTCTCTTATGGATCACTCATTAAAAAATAAATACATATGTGACTAAAACATGCAAATGTTAATTCACACTTGGAGCAAAATCTTTTTTTTCAGATTTTATTTATTTACTTCAAATTATGTATACAGTATTTTGCCTGCATGTCTGCCTGTAGGCCAGAAAAGGGCACCAGATCTCATTATGGACGGTTGTGAGCCATCATATGGTTGCTGGGAACTGAACTCAAAACTGAACCCAGGGCCTTTTGAGATAAACCCCTAACACTGCAAAAGCAAATTTTAATCATAGCCTTTAATGTCCTAACAAAATTATAGGTTATTTGGGCTGTAGCATTGGCTGTTCTTCCAGAGGTCCTGAGTTCAATTCCCAGCAACCATGTGGTAGTTCAAAACAATCGATAATGAGATCTGGTGTCTCTACTGGCCTGCAGGAACACATGCAGGCAAAATACTGTATACATAATAAATAAATAAATCTTTTTAAAAATATGGGTTTCACAATCCCAGAGAACCTAGACAACAAAGAGGATCCTAAAAGAGACATACATGGATCTAATCTACATGGGAAGTAGAAAAAGACAAAAATCTCCTGAGTAAATTAAAAATATGGGTTATTTGTTCTTTGCATCTTCCTCCTTTGCAGAATTGACCTTTGTGATAAAGTTTGATTTGTATTAACCCACTTAACATACATGCTGTAAGTTAAACAAAAGGAATGTAGAAAGATGAGGGCAGGGGTGAGGCAGAGTGTGCCAGACTCTGTGGCTGTACTTAGTGCAAAATTGGCCCTTGGTGGTCATCTCTGCTGACTTCCCAGAGGCATAGCTTGGGCAACACCCTAGTGGGCCTGCATGGCAGCCTCAGAAATGGACTGCCAGCAGTGAAAAGGCTTGGGACCAGGCACCAGGCTCCCTGAGCTCCCTCTGCTTGGAGCTCTCCGCTGAGGCAGATGCACTGCAAGTAACCCCAGGAGAGGAGGACAGATGAGGAATTAGGTGAGAGGAGTGGGAACCATAAACCTATTAATAAACACTGCCATGAAAAGCCGCTTCAGCACAGGGGAAAATCTACGGGCCATACAGCTAAAAGATAGTAAACAGCTGAAGCATCATCTAGTACTAAAACTCTGAAAAGGGTAGAAAATCTGAACAAAACAATCAAATATGCATTATCTTTCTAGCATTAGTGGAGATTCAATGAGCAAATCCACATCTTTATGAAACTCTAGAATTTGATGGGAAAAATCAAGATACAAGCTATCTAGTTATTGATAGGCAATAGTGTAGGGTAGCCTATTATTCCCTAGAGAGCACCTAACCCATGTCTGTAATCACAGCTATTCAAGTCTGAGGGAAATCTCAAATTCAAGGCCAGCCTAAGCAACTATAATTTACATAGTCCCCAAATCCATCAGAAAGCAAAATCTAGAAAGTTAACAGTGGATGTAGCATAGTGGTAGAAAAAAATGCATTGAAAAAGTTGTTCCATCCAAAATGCATTACAAAAGTAGGCCTTGGTAACATGTTTATAATGGTAGCACAAGGGAGACAATCCCTGATGAAGGAGGTAGAGGCAAGAGAATCAGGAGTTGAACTTGCTACTTAATTTCAAGACAAGGCTATGCTACAGAAAACACTGTTAAAAGCGTGGTGGTGCAGAATGCATAGCAATGTTGAAAGATAATTTTGACACAGACAAATTATCCAGGTATGTGTGGCTTTTATGATCAGTCTATATAAACATTAAAATATCAATGTTTGGAAATATTTTTGAAGATTTACCTTCCACATATTTGGTAGATAGACAGATATTCTGCTATACAGTAGCCTCTCTCCACATTAAGTTAGGGAGAAGCCACACAAGGACCCAATGTTTAATCTGTTACAATCAGACCCAGACAATCATAGTGAATGGGGTATTTCATCATCTGGTATTTGGACAAGCTATTATTGAAATACTGGTGCGGGAGAATTGTCTGTATTCTCTCAATCATGTTATAAATAAATGCTGATTGGCCAGGCAGGAAATATAGGTGGGAAAACCAGACAGGAAGTAGAAATGATGTAATGAGAACAAGAGAATTCTGGGAAGGAGAAAGTTGATTCCTCCCACTCCTGCCCAGACCACCGAAGCAGCAGGATGTGATCTGTCCCCAGTGAAAATAGGTACTGAGCCACATGGCTAACATAGATCAGAAAAAAGAATCAAGATGTGAGAGTTAGCCAGTGAGAGGCTAGAGCTAATGGGCCAATCAGCTTATAAATTATAGAGAGCTATGTGTGATTTTCTTTGGGGCTAAACAGTTGTGGGATACCGGGCGGGACAAAAACCCCAGCAACAAACAGCTCCTCATGTTACAAAATACTTAACCGTACCAATCGTTTCATATTAGTTTCCTATGCTCAATTGTTTATAATGGAGGGATACTGTTGGTGCCAAATCAGAATGTAGCTATTGCTTTCACCCAGTTACTGATATTGGTGTGGGAACAGATTGCTACCATAGAATTAGATGACACTTTTAATTTTTTTTTAATTTATTTGAGTGGGCATGGTGGCATACACCTTTAATTCCAGCACTCTGGAGGCAGAGGCAGCCTCTGCCTCTCTGTGAGTACAATGCCAGCCTGGTCTAGAGTGAGTTCCAGGACAGGCTCCAACGCTACAGATAAAGCCTGTCTCAAACAAAACAAAACAAAACCAATTATTTATTTTATAAGTGTATGCACCCATAGCCATGCCACATGTGTCAAGGTCAGAGGACAACTTGCACAAGTCAGTTCTCTCCTTCCACCAAGTAGATTATGGAGATTAAATTAAAGCAGACAAGCTTGGCAGCAGATAACTTTTACTCCCCTCCCCCTCACCGAGACATCTCTTGAGTTTGGTTCAGCACATTGCTGTGGAGAGCCTTATGTCATCTGGCAGATCCCAAACTACTTCCTGTAAATTCCTCCCAGAAAAATTTTTATATGTAAATATATACTTAGTATTTAATATGTAAGGATGAATGTAGGGAGACAAACGGGGGAAGGGGGGCGACACAACACAGCTGTTTGATTCTCTATTAAGTTATGATGTGTCGTGTCATTAATACTAATGATGAGTGTTTAGTACACAAGTTGAGATTGAAACTGGGTGCATCATGTCAATGATCATTCTTTATTTGTAGTAACCAGTTTCTTCTGAACTATCCAAATTAAAAACAACAACAGCAAGAGTATCTAACTGCTTCATTCCCTGTTTTTGGTTATTTGGAAATTTTAGATGCAGTGTTTACCTGGCATGGATTACTACAACTAGAACAGAAAGCCAAAGTCAATCCCCAGGACCCAAATAGCAATTCACGACTGCCTGTAACTCCAATTCCAGAAGAACTCAATGTCTTCTTCTGTCCTTCACACACAGTGCGTAGACATTCATGCAGATGAAGGAGCCATATACATAAAATTTCTTAAATAATATAAAAAGTGAGGAAAACATTTCATGGACAAAGAGGGTGAACCACATCTAAAAATTTCAAAAAGTGTAATTTAAACAGTTATTCCCTAGCTGATGTTTCTCTAGTATTCAACAACTCGAGAAATCAGGCTAAAGTTACCTATGGCACATGTTTTTGTTTCTTGAGACAATCATCTCACTATGAGGTCCACATTAGTCTGGATCCTCTGAGCTTAGCTTACACCTCCATGTTCAACTCTCCTTTTCTCCTGCCTTGCTGAACATTCAGGTCTGGCATGCTGAGCTTTCTCTTACTTCCAACCATTCACACATTAGCAGTTATCTCCTCTGGTTAGAACCTTCTACTCTAATTACATGTCCCTGTGCTCTGGCTAATTCTCACCGCTCTCAGTCTAAGTACAACTGGCACTTTCTTGGGAATTTCCATCTTGACTTACGAACTAGGCTATATCTCCCTGCTATGTGAATCCAAAGCATCCTGCAGGGACTTACAAAAATCAAGCCTGAAGCACAATAATATTCAAAAAATTATGAATAACAAATGAAAGAGATGTATGCAGAGAAATGATGCCCTAAAATGCAAATGGGGCTGAATTGCCACTCAACAGGTAGAAGAGAACCTCCCCTGGACCTCAGCAATTCTACACAGAAAGCTATCATACACACACAGGTGTGAGCTCTGTTCTACATGCTTTCAAAGGAGACAAACTGTCCTTCAGCATGGCTGCAGTGTGTGGCACCATGTTAGATACAGAACAGGGGCTTACTTTAGTAAGCGAATTGCATGGCTGAAGCCATCACCTTCCACTTGCACTCCTTGATGGGGTATCTCCAGGTTGGACAACTGGAAAGAGAAAAAGGACAGTAGTATTAAACTGTTCATTTTACAAAAGAAAGTAGCTTTTCTCTACACTTTAATCTATTTTCATCCCATCTGTTCTAAGGCAGCCTTTCTCAAATTGACAAGTTATAAGGAATGAGCACTGTTATCATTAGACTTCCGTGGAACTTATAGTAAGGCAACTGCAAGGCAAAGGACCTTGAGATTCTCTAGCTTAAATCTGCACAGTAGACAAATCTTCAAAATTCAGGAGATAAACCCATTTTTGCTACAAGCTAAAAGTAATCCAGAATCAGTTATAGTGGTTCCAAACAAAGCAACTAAGAACTAAGACTGGTATTATTTGTGATTCCACTGTTTGATCAAAAAGAAACTTAAGTCAGGCAAATGTAGGCTGAAACTCATTCAGTGGAAGATAGGAAGGCATGTCAGAAGGTCCTCTGATTGAGCAAAGAAATGCTTGACCTCAGCAAATAAAGGTAAGTCTTCTATAATGGAAGTTTTACATACCCTATTTCAACAATGATTTAAATGTTTGCCTAGCCCTACTTTGAGGTCCAGGCAGAACATAAGTATAGAAACTAGCTAATGACCAAATAAATAAGAGAAGTTCAGACTCAAAAATAAAAGCTCAAAAAATGGCTTGCCATCAATAAAGAGAGAAACACTGCAAATAAGATTACCCATAGCTATTCAAAGCACACGGTACATTATTATAATACCCTTCTCATAGAAGAGAAAGTAGGAAACACACTTGAACTCACTGGTACAGGAGATCACTTCCTAAATATAACCCCAGTAGCACTGACACTTAGAGCAACAATTAACAAATGGAACCTCCTGAAACTGAGAAGCTTCTATAAAGCAAAGGACACAGTCAACAAGACAAAACGGCAGACGACAGAATGGGGAAAGATCTTCTCCAACCCCAATTCGGGCAGAGGGCTGACCTCCAAATATACAAAGAACTCAAGAAATTGGTCATCAAAAGAACAAATAATCCAATAAAAAAGGGGTACAGACCTAAACAGAGAATTCTCAACAGAGAAATCTAAAATGGCTGAAAGACACTTAAGGAAATGCTCAACATCCTTAGCCATCAGAGTAATACAAATCAAAACAACTCTGAGATTCCATCTTACACCTGTAAGAATGGCCAAGATCAAAAACACTTATGACAACTTATGCTGGAGAGGATGTGGAGTAAAAGGAACACACTTCCATCGCTGGTGGGAGTGCAAACTAGTACTTCCGCTTCAGATTTCAGTACGGCAATTTCTAAGAAAATTAGAAAACAACCTACTTCAAGAACTAGCAATACCACTTTTGGGTATATATCCAAAGGATGCTCAATTGTACCACAAGGACATGTGCTCAATTATGTTTATAGCATCATTGTTTGTCATAGCCAGAATCTGGAAACAACCTAAATGCCTCTTGACCAAAGAATGGATAAGAAAAATGTGGTACATTACACAATAGAGTACTACACAGCAGAAAAAAATAATGGCATCTTGAAATTTGCAGACAAATGGATAGAGCTAGAAAGCATCATGTTGAGTGACATAACCCAAACACCAGAAAGACAAATATCATATATACTCACTCATAAGTGGCTTTTAGAAGAAAGCAAAGAAAAACCAGACTACAGTTCACAATTCCAAAGAACCTAGACAACAAAGAGGACCCTAAAGAGAGACATACATTAATCTACATGGTAAGTAGAAAAAGATAAGATCTCCTGAGTAAATTGGAAGCATGGGGACCATGGGAGAGGGTAGACAGGGAGAGGAGAAGAAAGGAAGGAAGCAAGGAAAAATATATAGCGCAATAAAAACAATAAAAAAGAAATTTAAAAAAGAGCACTGGTTGCTTTTCCATGTGATACAAGATCAATTCACAGCACCACATGGCAGCTAGGGGATAAAGGACCCTCACACAAACATACATGCAGGCAAAACACCAATGCACAAACATACACATAAAAGCAATAATAAAAAATAGAGGTTGTAGCAGGCATAATGGTATATGACTGTAATCCTATTACAGGAAAGTAGAAGCACAAACACAAAATATTATGAGTTCATCCTTAGCTACATAGCAAGTTCAAGGACAGCCTAGAGAACATGAGACCCTTCAAAAAACAAGAGAAAACATACATAGACTGGTTACCTCCCTTTACATTCATATGTGGGGATCATGGTAGGTATCATAAAACCATTTTTTTACTGATATTTTGCCTGCAGGCATGTCTATGTGAAGGTGCCAGGTACCCAGGAGCTGAAGTCACAAACAGTGGTAAGCTGCCATGTGGGGTGCTGGGAACCAAACCCAGGTCCTCTAGAAGAGTAGCCAGTACAATTAACAGCTGAGCCATCTCTTCAATCCCTACAATATTAGTAAAGGAAATTGACTCTGCATCAGCCAACTGCTTCTTCCATAATACCAAAATAAACATTTAACTTAATATTTTTCTGACTTACTTCTCAAAAATAAGTCTAGTAATATTAGTATTCAAACAGCACGTATTACTTTACAAACTCAACAAAGAGATATGCTTTATTAGTCATTTCTAATAGACTTAAACAATGTTCCTACTATGAAGTAGAAGACATCAATTCTTACAAGTTGTCTACTTTCAGCTGGGCAGTGGTGGCACACACTTTTACTCCTAACACTCGGGAGGCAGAGGCAGGCGGATCTCTGTGAGTTCAAGGCCAGCCTGATCTATAAGAGCTAGTTCTAGGACAGTTGTGGCTGTTACACAGAGAAACCCTGTCTCGAAAAATAACCAAAATAAAAAACAAACAAACAAAAAAAAACCCAAGTAAAGTTATCTATTTTCTTTAATTGGGAAGAATTTAATTTCCATTATCTAAGGAGAAGAATATGAGCTGATAGATTGGGAGACAAAAGAGCTTGTGTGTACCCGAGACCAATTCTCCAGCTGGAAACAACTGGAAAATTCTGAACTTACCTCCAATCGAAGTCCTACAAATGGCATGTTGGTGTCACACATAGCGACAAAATGAGCTAGAACTTTATTGAAGGCACACATTTCTCCTGTTCGTTTGGCTTTCTTGCATTCTACTGGACATGGGTCATCAGACAACTAGAAATTAAAATTTTTTTAACTGTATTACAATTCACCAAGGCAAATAAAGCTCTACAACAAAGCTCAGGGTTAACACAAAAAATAAGACCTGTCAACAAAGGCACATTGAGCAAATCATAACCCAGACACAAGTAACATAGTAGTTACTTATCTTATGTTTAGCAAGTTGTTTTTTTATGAAATTATCAATTAAGAATTAAAAGAAAAGCATTTGGTATAATTTAGTAGTATGCACCTGTAATTCTAGTACTCAGGAAACAGAAGGATTTTGAATTTTTTTAAAATATTTATTTATTTATTATGTATACAATATTCTGTCTGTGTGTATGTCTGCAGGCCAGAAGAGGGCACCAGATCTCATTACAGATGACTGTGAGCCACCATGTGGTTGCTGGGAATTGAACTCAGGACCTTTGGAAGAGCAGGCAATGCTCTCAACCACTGAGCCATCTCTCCAGCCCCAGGATTTTGAATTTGAGGCCAGTCCAGGGTTAAAAAGAAAAGTAAAATGAAAAACAAAAAGGAAATTAAAATGAAAGAAACCTATCTGAAAAAAGGGGGGTGGTGGAAATGTAGCTCAGAGGAAGAGTGCTTACCTAGAGTACACACAGCCCCCCATTTCTAACACCACCACCCTACCCTCAAAAAAGAAGAAATATTTTTAAGAAAATGTGGGTAACTGTTTCACTGCTGCCCTATACCTCTGTTTAAGAATAATGAAACTAAGTGTAGTACACTTAGTAATTGTGAGGCAGGGGCTGGAGGGTGTCAATTTAGAAGCAAGAATTAGTAACATAAGACATCACAGACCAGCCAAATCTACACAGGAAGATCTTATCTCAAAAATAAAAAAGGCAGCCGGGCGTGATGGTGTATTCCTTTAATTTCAGCACTCAGGAAGACAGAGAAAGGCATATCTTTGACATTGGAGCCTAGCCTGGTCTACAGAGCCAGCTCTCCCAGATAGCCGGTGCTATACAGAGAAACTGTCTCAAAAAACAAAACAGGAAGTTCGCCCTTTTGTCTGCGGGGTCCTTCAACCTCCAAGAGTCCTGTCCCTGTGCTGAGGACAACCTTTCAGACCAAACCTTCATCTGGCGATGGATGGAGATAGAGACAGAGACCCACATTAGAGCACTGGACTGAGCTCCCAAGGTCCAAATGAGGAGCAGAAGGAGGGAGAACATGAGCAAAGAAGTCAGGACCGCGAGGGGTGCACCCACCCACTGATGCAGTGGGGCTGATGTAATGGGAGCTCACCAAGGCCAGCTGGACTGTTACTGATGGAGCATGTGATCAAACCGGACTCCCTGAAAATGTTGGACAAGGAGGGATGACTGAGAAGCCAAAGACAATGGCACTGGGTTTTTGATCCTACTGCATGTACTGGCTTTGTGGGAGCCTAGTCTGTTTGGATGCTCACCTTCCTAGACCTGGATGGAGAGGGAAGAAGAGGGGAGTGGGGGGAGTGGGAGGGGGAGGGAAGTGGGAGGAGGTGGAAATTTTTAATAATAATAATAAAAGGAAAAAAGGAAAAGATAAATAAAAAACAGTAATATAAAAAATTTTAAAACTAAAATAAAATGAAGCCGGGCAGTGGTGGCACACGCCTTTAATCCCAGCCATTGGGAGGCAAAGGCAGGCAGATCTCTGTGAGTTCAAGGCCAGCCTGGTCTACAGCTAGTTCCAGGACAGGCTCAAAAGCTACAGAAAAATCCCTGTCACAAAAACAACAAAAATAAGTAAATAAATAGATGGATGAAATGGGATGAGGATTGCAAAAACATTAATATAAATAACTTCTAACTTCTATGTGACCACACCTTGTGCTTGGTACCAGTTCCGGTCTGTTTCCCAGTCTTTGTATAGGAAATCAAGTCCTGGATGTTGTCCTTGAATTGCTGCAGCAGCAGTGCCTTGACAGGGCTGTCTTCACGATCTGGACTACTCACAGACATGAAGTAGTACTTGTACGATAGTTGAGTGGGTTTATTGGGAACCTCAAGCATTTCCACAACCTAAAATGATCCAAATCAGAAGGAAGTAAGCCCTAGTAGAATAAGAACCAGAGTACATTCTACATCTTGTATCAAGTGGAGTTTGGAATTATTTTTTAAAAAATTAAGAAAAAAATATATTTTTAAAAACCATTCTTTGTAAGTATACAATGTGTCTTCTAAATATTAGCAGTGGGAAAAAAGAATGTAAAGAGTAAAAGTAACAATAAACACAAGAAATGACATAAATTATTGATGCTAGTTTTGTTTTATTTTGTTTTTCGAGACAAGATTTTGCTGTAGCTTTGGAGCTGTCCTGGAACTCACTCTGTAGACCAGGTTGGCCTCCAACTCACAGAGATCTGCCTGTTTCTGCCTCCCGATTGCTGGAATTAAAGGCGTGCGCAACCACCACTCAGATGGCATTCATATTTTTTATTATAAGCTGAAATAAAAATATACCTAAACCAAGTAGGTCTTCTAGAATGTTATCTATTTTCAATATCCCTTTTACCTTTCTTATCTGTGAAAAGACCCTAAAAATTCAATTACTGTGGCCAAGACAAATCAGAGAAAAAACCAACAACTACATCTCACTGGGAAACATGCAAAAATAAATTTTCACTTTTGTATGTGAGGTAGGGTCTCAGTGTAGCCCATGCTACTGTAGGCCTTGAACTGCCTCCAACTCCCAAGTGCTACCACACCCAGCTAAACCCCAAGTTTTGAACTGAAAAATGTTGTTTGCTCTGGGGACAACATAAAAAAGAAGCAGTGCCGAAAAGGAATTAACCATGTCAGTGCTACCCTAAATGCCTCCTCAGAGTACCAGTGAGGAGTCATGGGTTGTCTTTATTTTTGTGAAGAAGTAATAAGGACACTGAAAAACGGAGTTTCCCGTCCAAGGTCACACACTTTGGTATTTTTTTCCTAGAAGTTAAACTGTTTGTTTAAGCCTTCCTCTTAGCCACTATGGCAGCTTAGAAATGTCAATATCTATCTTAAAAAAAAGACAGAGTATGAGGACATTAAGTGGCACGATAAATCTATATACCCTTACTGAGATAGAGGGTACTACTATACACTTAACCAAAACCAGTACCTTACAAATCTCAAGTCTGAGACAGCCTTGGTGGGTCAGGCCTTTAATCCAAAGTAGTTGGGAAGTTAGGGCAGGAAGATTACAAATGAGGATCCAGAGATAACTCAAGGTTAAGAGCACTGGTTCCAGTTCACAGCACCTATATGGCAGCTCACAACTGTCTATAACTCCAGACCCAGCTATCATACCTCTTCTTCAGGTTTTTATACACATATAGTACACAAACATACAAACATATAAAGGTTGTGTTCAAGGCTAACTTGTACAAGTTAGTGAAGCCTTGTCTCAAAAAAAAAAAAAAAGAGGGGTTCCGTGGTAAATCACTTGACTAGCATGTGTGAACCGTGGAATTAATCCTAGCAGCACCCACTTAATAATAAACCTCATATAATAAAAAGCACAGATTTTCATAGTATATAATTAGATCACAACAGAGGTGACCAACAAATAGAAAGGGAGAAAAAAAAAGAAAAATTTTTTTGTTTTGTTTTTTTATTTTTTTCAAGATAGGGTTTCTCTGTGTATCCCTGGCTGCCCTGGCACTCACTCTGTAGACCAGACCAGCCTTGAACTCACAGAGATCTGCCTGCCTCGTCCTCCTGAGTGCTGGGATTAGAGGCGTGCGCCACCACCACTACCAGTCCTTTCCTATTTTTAATGGTCACAGTAGCAGTTAATTTTTTTCTACTTAAGTGACAAATCTAAAGGAAGTAGAGTAACCTGCAATCAGGTTTGATCTAAACCAATTTGTTTTGCTACTGGGACACTGACACTAAAAGCTAGCTATTCATCGATGCTTACAAAATAAGGCCAGAAACTTAACAATATGTACCTACTTCAATTTTATTATGGGTGTGGCTGAGCCCAAAGCTCTATGAATATTTACAGTTTGGTTATTCATCATTACTAAGAAGACATATAGCACAAGCAACTCAACAAAAACTAAAACCACAGATAGCCCTTCAGTACATGTCAAATCTACTTCCATACACGAGATTTTAAAATTCATAAAATGATAAAATTCATGTCAACAGTAAACTCATTAACCTACTACATCAACAGTTCAGCCAGTACCTGGTATCAATTTAAGACGGTATATTGAAAAGGTACAACGAAAAACTTTAAAAATTCATTCCTATTCTTTAAGAAATCTTAGATTAATATTTTCAAACACCTTAGTTTTATCACAAATACTTACTTGTTATACACAGAAACTTAAGTGTGAAAATGTATTTATGGTAAGTTCTTAAAAAAATAATTCTTAACAAATTCAAAAAAGTCAAAAAATTAGAAAATGATATGAAAACTCCAAGTTCTCAAAAAAATCTAGGAAGAATGAAAATATGAAAAAGAAGAAATATGCCATCAACAAAATACAGTATGCCATCAATAAAGGAGAAAATAAAGCTACTTTTAGCCAGTCTATATTTACACAAACTCATATTTAACTAAAACCAAGCTAGTATGTCTGATACCAAACTCCTCCAAATCTTCATAATAGTTATAGTTAATTGCACTCAAATGCTTGCATTTAACCAAAGAGATGCTTAATTCCAATCAGAAACTAAGACTTCCTTGTCTATCATGAACAAAGCCTCCCTCCCCAACAACTTAGGCCTTATAATGGCAGAGGCAGTAGGGAGAGACAGAGTCTTAACTACTTTTCTGCCTTCATTCGTATCCCCTGGGTTGAAAATCCCAATATGAACATCAGACACTAAGTAAAATTCATTTACAAATGAAATTAAACAAGACAGTTTTCTGAATACATCCATACATATTAAACTTGTTCACTACCAAACACGCTTGACATACTTACAATGTAGTACTGTGGAAGGCGGGTAAGCTTAATAAATAGCTTATTCTTAGAAAGGTTTCCAATGGGATGCGTTGAATAGTTGGAAAGATACAACGTTTCAGTGGTTATTGTAGGCAGATGTTTTATAGAATGCTTGCAACGCTGTTGTCCAAGCCAAAACCTTAATTTAAAAGATAATCCACATCATAAAACCGTAACTTTTTGGGTTAACTGTATGCCACTAATTTCCAAATCAAATAAAACAAAAAAAGACATTTAGTCAATGGACACACGATCAAATCAATAATTCATTTCTACAGTTTTGTATTTGGCTTCTAATTCTACTTATAGAGTAAGAAATGTAAATTGCACTGTGAATAATTTGATGTGGGGGTGAAGTATAAGCCTAAGATAAAAGCTACAGAATGGCAGATTCCCAATGCTTAAAGATAACTCAAACTAAAATCAGTATCTTTCCTAAGAAACCTGAGGAGAGCTAGGAGATGGTGGCACACACCTTTAATCCCAGGACTCAGGGAGGCATAAACAGGAAGATCTCTGTGAGTCTGAGGCCAACCTGGTCAACAGAGTGAGTTCCAGGGCAGCCATGAATATACAGAGAAAACCTGTCTCAGGAATTCCATACACAAAAATACTATAAAGTGGGTAGAACACACCAGCTGTTTAGTGTCTAACAGTCAGCCCTGAAAATGTACATACATGTAAAAGTATATGGACTTAACTGGTTAGATTCAGGAATACAGATGTATATACATAAATGCATACAACAATTAGTGGGAAAAGGGAGCCAGGAATTTGAAGGGGATTGGGGCGGGATAAATGGGAAGGTCTGGAGGGAGTTATGTTATAATATCAAAAATTAAATAAAAATTAATCTAAAGTGTTCATAAAACAAAACAAGAAACAAGAATAAAAACTATTTTTTCTCTCATCACGGTAGATGTTAGCCCCATATTTTATAAAAATTATGTGTGAAGTGCTTGGCATTAACTCCCCTCTTTCCTCCCTCCTTTTCAAGTCAGACACTGGGTTTAACTTTGATGAGTTTACTATAGTACTTCTATAGATACTTATGTGACCGCCCTTGTTGCTTCAATAACAAATAATCAAATATGTAAAAAAAAAAATAAAGGTCTCCTTCAGACCCTTACTGGTCCACAATGAGCTAAGTAACACAAAAGAATGACTTTCATAGCAGTACAGCAATGCCAAAGAGGCCAAACTATTGAGAACAAACTCGCTCCATTTACTGAATAAGGTAGAGGTCAATTTAGGAAAAAGTGCTCTCGGAAAGAACTACATGTGGTACAAATGGTGTGCTAACCATGTGTATGAGAACTGTGTCGGAATATATTACACCTTATGGGTGGGGAGGCTGAGATAAGTGAAGATTATATTCCATCTTACGGGTAGTTTGCCAATTCACACAAAAGTGAAATGGTCAGGGAGGGTTTCCTTCGGTTTCTTTTGTTTGTTTTGGAGACATGTTCTGACCGTGTAGCCTAGTGAACCTATAACTCACTATGTAGATTAAACTGGTCTCAAATTCACAGATCAGAATGCCGCTATTCCAGAGTCCGAAAGATGATTTTTCATCATTAAAACCCATCTGACATTTAATCATAACTTTTATTAAAGGATCAATCGAAGGAATTTAGATAAACATTAAAAATGTATCATCATTTGCCTCACTTGGGCAAGAGCAGGTAGCAAACACATGAATAGTGCTTGGAACTTTGAGAGTTTTAACTATTTTATGAGTTAAATAGCATTTGCACCTTATATCTACTTAAAACTCATAAAATTACTAGACTTAGAATCTTAATTTTAAAAAAGTGCAGCCTACTGAAATACTGCTTTTAACACCATACAAATGATCAAGCATACATAAGGAAAGCCTCTTGCCCAAACTGGCTTTCTAAAGACCAATCCAAATTTTTAATGACAGTAGAAATATTAATAAAGCACAAAATGATTTCAACTGACTAGATAAAAATATATAAAAATGACAAATAAAAAACTATTGTGGTATACTATGCCACAGCCTCGTCTCTCAATTCTTATACTGAAGTCCTTATCTTCAAATGCTATGCTGTTCAAAGGCAGCCTTTGTGAAGTAGCTAGGTTTTTCAGAAGGGGTCATGAAGCAAGGCAGAGGCAGGTGGATCTCTGTGAGTTCGAGACCAGCCTGGTCTACAAAGCTAGTTCCAGGACAGGCTCCAAAGCTACACAGAGAAACCCTGTCTCAGGAAACAAAATAATTCTGGCTAAGAACAAATAGCATTCAATTAGAGGACGTGGTACAAATATTAATTAAGTGATGCTTGAAGTGATTGTTCAGAGAAAATATGGAGAGGAATGATAGTTCAGTGCCATAGTCCTCATTGGATCTAGAGGATCTCATATGAACACTGCCATCCTGGATGCATTCCAAGGAACCAAAAGATGTTCAAGTTTCATGTCATAAATTTTAAGGGCAGTGACAGATTAAGACTAATGATGGAGATGAAAATAAATCTTGTTAAGATAGGTTTCCCTTTCAGTCTTGAGCTACATTAAGTAAGCTTACTTAAGTTGCTGAATCCAAGGGATGATCCGCTTCATATCGTCATTCACAGATTTTTCCATGTCCTCCAGAGTGGCCTGGTCTACAGAATAAAGAATTCATTAATTAACTGCTTATAAGACAAACAAAATCCTTATCTGTACAGCCACAGTTTAAATGAAAATTATTTTTTTAGGCAGAAACCCATGTTGCAGTTGAGTGAGAAAATAAACTAAATCCATCAGGAGCTGTCAATCAACTTGCTTTTTCTCCTTCACATTTCACTGGCAAGAGCAGGTAGCAAACACATGAATAGTGCTTGGAACTTTGAGAGTTTTAACTATTTTATGAGTTAAATAGCATTTGCACCTTATATCTACTTAAAACTCATAGAATTACTAGACTTAGAATCTTAATTTTAAAAAA